AAAGTAAATAAATTGCGATTTTAATGTTTTTACATTGAAATGTATATAAGTTATCTACATTTGCTCTAAAATGATATCATTTTGAGTTAAAAGATTAAAAAATTATATAAAAAGATTATTATAACCCTAAAATAAATTACAATTACAAAAATACTTTGGTTTCCGTCCCAAAATGACGTCATTTTAGACTCAATGTAGATAACTTATCTACTACAGAAAAAACGAACCCATAAATTGCACATCTATTTTTTTATTTTAAATTCGCTTAGGTAGTGTTTGGTTGAAGGTTTATTTTAGTATTGATGGGAAAGTGTAAGTGGATATTGGAAAATACCACGTTTGGTTCAGGTTTTTTCAAAAAATACTAGGCAAATAGGATAGATGGGAAAATGACTTTTGTGTTGATTTTTGGATGAAATTCATTGTTACATAATACCACTTGAGATGTGGTATTTTGAGATAATTGAGGAAGTGAAAAAAACAGGTGCAAAGTTTCTCCCGAACATAGATTTTGCATATTTAAATAAATTTCCCTGGTAATATTTCGGTCAACCAAACAACTTTTTTTACATTTTTCTACCAAACCCACTTTTCAACCATTTCCCTATCAATTACATTTCCCTAGTAAAAAAGAGTTTTTTAGGTTATTTGCCCCTTGTTATTTTAGTTTGCATTTGATATATTTAAATTTCTTATTCTTAATGCTTTGATGAAAGTTAACAATTGAAAAAAATAGGCTACAGGCAGTACCATTCCCAAGGATTGTTTTAGATCTGCTAACACAACTCATTGTAGGGTCTTTAAATGGAAGGCTTTATACACAGAACTTACATGCATCCTTGCAGCTTTGATCTGAAATTTTTCTTGAATACCGTCTTTCAAGCTTAGGTCTGACCCACTTAAGTACGTGCATTAATTGCTTGTATTTTAATACTGCAAGCGGACCTGTGATCCTCAATCGAAATAAATTCTAGTGAAAGAGAAAACTTTGTTTTTTTGTGTTCCTCATGTACAAGTCATGTAGACGTCACTATAGAATTTTATTGAGCAGTTAACTTTCAATGTGATGCTAACTGTTCAGTGTTCAGCTCACGGTCTTCAGTTTGAAGATTTTGAATTTCTATCATTATTCTAAATCATTGCGGAGTTTGCATTTCAGTTATCACTGGTAAACACCTTGGAATGGAGAGGCCAAAATATGCTATCTTGCTTACAAGTTTATGTCGACTGACTTAACATAACATCCCTGTATAATGGTTTGCATCCATGAAATAGGTACTCCAATCCTTCCAAGTCAAGTCGTATAGTAAATCAAACACCACCATAATTTACGAAACATGTAAGGATACACAGACAAGGTAACAGGGATTAAGTCACAGCAACATAGCCATTCATGAAATAGACATGCACTTGAACTGGTTTATTTAAAAATCCAGCTTTTAATTAAAAAGGGTGTGAGCTCAATTGGTGAACTTTTATCCAGCAATTAATGAGTTGAAGGTTGGCTTGTGGATCTGATGGTAATTATATAAAAATTTTAGTTCAAATTTTATTTCTAAAAAAGCAAAAAAAGATTAAAAAAAAATTTATCCTAGAAACTTTTGACTTTTTTTTTTTTTTTCGTTATAAAAAAAACTCTTTATTATAAGAATTTTTATAAAAACTTATTTAGCCTCGCTTCTGGTTATAAGAAGAAAAAAAGCTAAAAGAAAGAAAGATTCAAATAGGCATTAAGACTCTTCAATCTCTTTTTCTTTTTCTCAATATATGCCTTTTATCTTCCTTCTTCATCTCTGTCTTTTTTTTTCTTTTTTTTTGATACATTCATTCTTCATGGATCATCTCTTATACTTCCGGTTCGAGTTCAGATAGATTTTGGTTCCCACGATCAGCTAAATAAAGCTCGAATGCAAGTCACGACGAGGAAGACAGGGCATGCAACTGAAGATTTTCAAACCCTCATATTATACTTCGAATCTTCACTTTGATAATCTGTACATTCATGCCATATTTCTTTTGTTCACGGCTTAATGTCGGTATACACAAATATCAATCGAACCCCAATATAATAAAAAGTGTATTTATCCTCTAAGCTAAAAAAACCAAAGCCAACGCAGCTTCAAATTGTGGGGAACTTGGGATAGTAAAATTGTCATGCCGCATGAATTAAGGTAGGAAACCCTCTTCAGTGATTCTTCTAGCTCTTCAGAAAAGTCAGACTTTTTCCAAAGAAAAGTAAGTCCTAGAATAAATGTGAAAAAGACACAAAGAGACGAAAGCTCGGGGAGCGTCCCATTAATCCTAACCTTAAACGATGAATACTCGGCTATATGCGTATCAGAATTCAGACCCATGCATGCAATGATGGTCGAAGTCAGCAAAACAAAATAATAACAATAATAATAATAATGATAATAATAATAGGGAAAAGTAATTCTTATTCTTATGTGACTGCAGAAGGGAGAACTTGCAGCAACACAGGATATGCGTCCGAATCCTGATTTTTTTTTTGTTTTTTTTTTTATAGAATCCGGACGTGAATCCTAGGATCCGCACGTGCATCCTAGTGTTAAAAATTTGCTGCAACTTTTCTCATCAGCAGTCACATGAGAAGCGACGGACCCATAATAATAATAATAATAATAATAATAATAATAAAATAGGTTTTTTATAACTATTTTAATGCAATTTCAAAAGTATAATATCAAATTGAGACACGCAAAAAAATAATGGCGAATTGATGCAAACTTGAAATGTTTTATCAATTTGGATGGAATAATTGTGCAACTTGCACATGGACAAATTAGGACTTTCCACACCTTGTACCACGGATCACATGGCAGGCCCTGATTTGTGCATATACTACAAGTTGTGCATCCATCTCATGAATGACTTGAAAACACACATGCAGGGCATGTTTTGTTACATTATTTTGATAAAAAAAAAAAAAAAAAATTCTCTTTTACATCAATTAGGTATTTTATTTTTAAAATTACATTTAAAATAGTTAAAAAGGCCAATAAAACAACATCTTCATTTCATAATTGGCTTCCGAGGTTTGAATCAGGCCATGAAAACAAAGCTACCGTATATGAAAACCCAGACACAATCATCCGTCCGATCTAGTAATCAAGAAAACCGTCCATGTCCAACATTTTAATTATTTATTGATTTTGAACAAATTAGGTTTACTCCATCCGTAATAGAAATAACGCCCACGTCTGCGCTCCAAAAAACAATAAGTTCACATTATTCATGTTACTTGGGGATGTTTGGTACACGGTTATATTTATGACGACTAGGAAACTGGCTGTGGTAAACTTCTATTCCCAAGAGAAAAAATTGATTACCTGGAATTCATTTAACACTACCAATTACCGTCCCAAAATACCTTGTTGGATATGGTATTTATTTTTTACTACGTGGTTGGAAACCATTAACATATTTCTCAGACAATATTACCCTCATCAGCTTAGGTTATAAGTTGTGCTACGAAATGGTCTTAGTGTGAATCACTTTGTGCTACGAAATGTTCAGTTTATTTGTAACTTTGTTTGTGAACCCACGTATATATATAAAGGGTTAATCTTTTCTCATTTTACATGAGAAAAGATTCTCATGTTACACACACAATTAAAATGTGGATCCCATTTTTATTTTTTTGTCTTTTTACTTTTTTGTGAATCCCACTTATGTATTGAGTGTGTAGCATAAAAAAATTTTCTCATGAGAAAATTAATCCACATATATAAAATATGCATATCTTCTGTTTCGATAAGACGGCACCTCTTTGTTTTTATGTAATTGGCTTTGCAACACAGGGCTTCGTGCAATTGGTTGCCAGTAGCTGCGATGTAAATAGGTTTGATAGTTTTCTGTTCATGTCATATCAAGTTTAACTTACCATTATAACTGGGATTGATTATACACTTGACTTGTGCGTTAATTTTTACTACCTGTAAAAAGTTGGTACATTGTTACATATATACAGCCACAGTGTGCATAAAATTATGAGTGTTTACATTACCCATACTTACATATGATAAACGAGGCTAGTTTCGTAAAACAACACCATTTTCCCAGCAATATTTGCTCACCAACCAAACAGCCTATCAGGAAAATTAACCAACGGGTTTGGTATTTGTCATTTTAAATGACATAAGTCATGTCATTTTAAGAGAGAGATAGACACAGAAAATAAAAATCATGGGAGAAAAAAAGTGAATGATTTTTTTTTAATTTAAAATTTAAATAAAAAAATTTGTTCTGTGTTTATCTCTCTCTTAAAATGACATAACTTTATGTCACTTAAAATGACAAACACTTTTCGTTTAACCAATATCTCCGTAATTTTTTGACCTACCAAACATCCTTTTTCTAATATTCCATGCCATCTCTTTTTTCTACCATATTCTTAGTAATCATGATTCCTAGATTAAAAAAAAGATCTCCTATACCAAACGGTCAGCGAAAAAAGAAAAAGAAAAACATCATTCACAATATAAACTTCAAGCTCACCTTTCCGTCGTCATGGCTTGATATCATATTGCATTTTCATTTCCGATCCCAAAAAAATCTAACTCCCCCAAACGATTGTGAATCCCCCCAATGCTCCGAGGTATAAAATAGGGAAGGATTGGTCACACTGTCTAGGCTGACTTGGGGAATTCTAGTATGACAATGATCTAGTTCATGAGAAGTAGGTTGTGGTGATTTATGGAGAAAAATGGGTATGTGTGACACCGGCATTTGGGGAGCAGAGAATTCAAAGGTTTTGGAAGCATAACATCATACAACCTTTTCACTGTGTGAGGATGCGCCTTTTATAAGCGGTTGGAGTGCATACTCTAGAAGATGTTAGGTAAAAAATGAAGCTTACATGTGTATGAGGTAATTTGAGAAAAATGTTTATTTGACATAATTTCAAAGGTTCACTTCCAGAACACCCAAAAAGTAATAAAATAATTTATAACCTACAGGCATGGCCAATCCTAGCTCCAACCAATTTTTTATTTATTATTCTCCGTTATAGCATAAGATTGATATATACATTGATCAGTGTCAAGAATAATGTTTAAAGTCCCCACAAAAAGAGATAACCAAATGCATCAATATTTGACACTACACGAGTATAAAACGGGTTTTCTACTTCTTGAAAAAATGCGACCTCGAAAAGGGAGACAAAAATCCAAGGAGAAAGTAGAAGTTTTGAAGGGCTGTTAAATCTTTATCACCTTTATATACATCCTCTGGTCTGTTCAACAACTCAAAAAGATATAAGCGAGTGTGAGAAGGGCAGAATTCTCCATGTCACGGTGGTTACAACTCTTTATAGAGGCCAGCAACTCCGTCAATAAGAACTGCATAAAATAAGATCGTTTAAGTTTTACTGACAAGCTGAATTTTATACAATTCATTTCAAACTATGATCAAACAAAACTCGACTGTGCAAAGGTTGATATCAAACATGAAACTGGTGCATCCATAATTCTTCAATTGCCACATTAATTGCAATACTAATCAAACTAAAAATGATTAATGCATAGATGGTATAAATTAATAGTGTCGTAGCTGCAAAAAGGGACCTGCTCAAAGTGCCATCTCAGCCTGCAAAGCTGCCAATTCATCTTCCTCAGGAGTGGGCTTAGCAGACACAGGGCGAGTAGGTAGCCGCCCAGCTGGGACATGCATTGGGGCAGCTGGAGCTGTAGTTGCAGGCTGAAGAAGCTGTTCTTCCAACTCAGCACCCTCTAGCTCTTCAAGTTCTGCTTCTAATTCATCCTGTAGAGGCAAATAAATTCAGAATGCTGTTCGTATATACCACATAATACATGTATATCACTGCTCAATAACAAGTCAGTCAAAAGATAAAATTTCACATTTGCATAGAGTATAAATAATATTAATATTTGAGAAGATGACCTCATCAAAATCAGCAACTGCACCAATTGGAGTTGACAATGCTTCTTGAATTTGTTTCATGTTCTCAGTCTGTTCATTGATCTCATCCATGGTCTTGTCAACATCATCAATATTCCTGAAAATATAATATTGCAACTCAACAATGTGACAATCAGCAGCCCACTAAGTAAGATGAACAAGAGAATGCAACAATATCAGTAATAATATGCCTGAAGAAAATCTACCACATCACAAATAGATGGTAAACATTTCAGGTCTTTAAACAAGCATAAAAGAGATTGTAAAACATAAAAGAGCATATCAAGAATGAAATCACAAACAAATTTATATAAAGAGTCTATGTACATTGCTTTTTGCATAGCCTTCATGGCAGCTGCTCCAGTTCTCAACGCATCAACTGTGTCTGTGGTTGCCTTGGCACCTTCCACCATTATAATCTGTAACAAATTATCAGCAGAGCAACATGAATGATACTCAAAAAACTGAATCATTGTCATAACCACAGTTGCCAGAACAGGACCAGAAAAACCAGGAACCGGCAACCTTCAAAAACCAGATTTTCAAAATACGGTAAAAAACGGAAAAACCATCTTGAACCTGTTGACCCATGTGAACAAGTCATGGTTCAAATGATTGAAGCAGACCCTTTTTTTTTTTTTGAAAATTTGTTTACTACATTGATTATTTAGTTCCCAATTTGTATATAACCAAAACTCAGCATTTTTTCACTTAATTTGTAAAAAGTGGGACAATTAGGAGCTTGTAATGTAATAAGAGTTTGGTTAATATTTATTATGAGAAGTTTCACTTCTTCCTTCCTCTTTTACTAATTCAGTGAGGGAATAGTACATGTTAGACAATCACACTAGTACTAGTATAATACTTTTAGTTTAATACTTAATAATATGATATATCAATTTAATTTTATTTAGCCCTAGCCCATGTGGGTTAGGGCCAAAAAGTCCACAGGGCCAAATTAACCTCAATAATCAAGGCCATATTGTTTAGGGCCAGCCCGCGGGCCATCCAAAATTATAATTTTATAATTTTTTTATCATATTCAATATATTAACAAATAATTTTTTAACACTTTCTTAACATATTTTATACAAATTCTAAATTTTTTATAATTTAATTTTTTAATAAAATAAGATTTGTACATAAATATACAAGTGAAAATGTAAACAAAATTATAATATAAGTGAAAATTTATTTATTACTTTTACTAAATTCATTATTAAATGATGCCATCAAATAAAGATTTGATTTTCTCACCAGGAGTCATAATGGAATACAACAATTATAGTGGAAAACTAAAAGTAAAGATAGAAAAATTATCTTAATACCATTATTGAACAACTGCTCTTAATATGTTATATATTTGAAAGTAAAATAATTGATTTTCTTTAACTACTACCGTTACAAAAAAAAATTAGTTATTTTTATCCACAAAATTACTAAAGTGCATTGTATACGATATGTTTCAATACAAATTTGGATGTATAACATGCTTAGATGTCAATAGAAATTTTTATTTTTATTGATGCGCAGATAAGCAGTGCAAAGAGGTAAGGTTTTCGACGAGTTGTATAAAAGTCTTGGGAGCAAGGATGGTGAAAGAGGTATTTATAAACTTGCAAGGATAAGGGATAAGAAAAGTAAAGACCTCACTCAAGTTAGATGCATCAAGGATGAAAATCAAAAACTTCTGGTGAGAGATGAAGATGTAAATGAAAGATGGTTGAAATACTTCAACAAGCTGTTTAATGGGGATGGAAATACAAGCGAGGTGGACTTAGAGGACGCGTATGATGATATGAATAGAAGATTTGTACGCAGAATTAATACACATGAAGTTAAGGAGGCTTTAAAGAGGATGAAGACTAATAAAGCCTTGGGGCCTGATGGTGTCCCTATTGAAGTGTGGAGAGGCCTGGGGGATGTGGCAATAAAATGGTTGACCAATCTTTTTAATAAGATTCTCCAGACGAATAAGATGCCTGATGTATGGAGGAAAAGTATGATTGTGCCTATCTACAAAAACAAGGGAGATATACAGAATTGTTCAAACTATAGAGGCATTAAGCTAATGAGTCATACTATGAAGCTGTGGGAGAGGGTTATTGAACATCGCTTGAGGAGAGATACCAAGGTTTCTGTAAATCAATTTGGATTTATGCCAGGAAGATGTACCATGGAAGCCATTTTCTTGATGCGACAACTAATGGAAAGATACCGAGAAAAGAAGAAGGACTTGCATATGGTGTTCATAGACCTTGAGAAAGCATACGATAGGGTTCCAAGGAAAGTTTTATGGAGGGTCCTGGAGAAGAAAAATGTTTCATTAAAGTATGTAAAGGCAATCAAGGATATGTATGATGGGGCTACTACATGTGTAAAAGCTTGTAACGGATCATCAAGTTATTTTCCTATCACGGTAGGTGTACACCAAGGGTCGGCTCTAAGTCCTTACCTATTTGTCTTAGTTATGGATGAACTAACAAAAGATATTCAAGAGGAAGTGCCATGGTGTATGCTTTTTGCAGACGATATTGTGCTTATTGATGAGAGCAAGGAGGGTGTTAATAGAAAACTTGAATTGTGGAGAAGCACATTGGAATCCAGAGGATTCACATTAAGTCGAAGCAAGACTCAGTATCTGAAGTGTGAGTTTTCTCTGGTACAAGATGAGGACCAAGAACCTGTGCATCTAAATGGTCAAGAGGTACCCAAAAAAAATGCTTTTAAATACTTGGGCTCCATTTTACAAAATGGTGGAGAGATTGATGAGGATGTAAATCACAGAATCAGAGCAGGGTGGATGAAATGGCGTAGTGCATCTGCATTTTTGTGTGACCGCAAAATTCCCCTGAAGTTAAAAGGAAAATTCTATAAAACGGCAGTACGACCGGCAATGCTATATGGAGCGGAATGCTGGCCAGCACATAGGCAACATGAGCATAAGATGGGAGTAGCAGAGATGAGGATGTTAAGGTGGATGTGTGGGTACACAAGGATGGATAAGATAAGAAATGAAGATATTCGACGAAAGGTCGGAGTAGTACCGGTAGCCGAGAAGATGAGAGAACATAGATTGAGGTGGTTTGGGCACGTGATGAGAAGACCCATGGATGCTCCTGTAAGAACATAAGTTTGTTACCAAGAGCTAAACACAAAAAGAGGCAGAGGTAGGCCGAAGCTTACTTGGGGGAAAGTAGTAAAACAAGATTTAATGGAGTGGGATATAGATTGGCGGACAATATGTCTTAGAAAGGAATGGAGAAAAGCTATAAGTATGGTGGAGGGTTAGACTCGCTGTTATTCCTATGTTCCAGATGGTCCTTTTTTAGTCCTTTTCCCCTTCATTTCCCCCACTTCTTCTTGTCCCTTTCTTTTTTACTTTTATTTATTTATATATACATATATTTTTATTTCATTTTATTTTATTTTATTATTTTATTTGTGTATTTTTATTTATTTATTTTTTTTTTATTTTTTATTTTTTTACTTTTTTTCAACCGTTTTGTATCTTTCATGTGGGTTCATCTACCACCGACCCCAATTAATTTGGGATAAAGGTGTTGTTGATGTTGATGTTGATGCGCAGATAAAAATCTCTATTAAAATATATCACTACTGAAAAATTTATTTTTGTTGTAAAATATTATGGATGAACTTTCACATATTATAACATGTGACTCTTTGTTTTTCATGACCTTTGATATATTCTATAATCATCACACTAATGGTTTGTTGAATTATAGAATACATCCAAACGGGTATTGTAAAATATTATGGATTATGGATGACTTTTCACATGGTTCATAACATGTGACTCTTTGTTTTTCATGACTTCCATGTTTAAAAATACATCTAAGATATGTCCTTATATAGGACTCTTTGCTTATACTTATTCTTATTTTATTCTTTCTTTTATTTTTTTCTAAACTTTATTTTCCTTTCTTTCATATTTCACTTTCTCTTATCTTCTCCATCAAATTCACAATAATTTTTACTTATATTTATAAATATTTAAATTTATATAATTTTTAGTTTTTTAAATAATGAAATTTTTGATGAAAGAAAAAGTTTAGCCCGCGGGTCAGCCCTAACCCAGCCCACTAAATTATAGGGCTTTAAGGGTTAGGGCTAAAAAAGGCCCTACCACAAAAAAGCCCTAATAGGTTAGGGCCAAATATAATGCTTTGCGGGCTGGCCTGCAGACTTTAACCCATTTTGACACCTCTACATGTATATTTACATAATATATATTTATATATATATATATAAAACCCCAGTTCAGCCTTATAACCATAAACCTTTCTTTTTATTGGATCAATTTGACAATCATTAGTTGTAACTACTTAATACAAAGTTGCATTCGTACCTGGTCATGAATACGCATCTGAAAATTTACAAGCTGCTCTATTTGTTGTTCATATAGCCTCTTCCTTTTCAGACATTGTATTGCCGCTGCATGACAATAAATTAATATATCATTAGCTCATGATCCAATTCCAAAAATAATCGATTCCTGAAGAGGTTTGTATGTGTTTGTCTTTAGATACTTATTTATTAATTTATTTTGATAAAATTTGCACTGGTAAAGCTCATTCATAGAAATTTGATAACAAGTGCACCATAGACTGCAGAGGCCAGAGTGTAATACAATGTCACATCCAATCAACATCCATGTTTCACTTGACTAACCCAAGGACTCAATTGTATTAATATGTAAAATAAATGATTTCCAATGCTAGCTTATGGTTCATGACCACTTGTATTTAAGAATTACTTTAGTAGTAATTGAATCGAATAGGGAAAATGCAAACACACCCCTACAACTTTAGGCGACTTCAAGTACATACCCAAACTACAAAAATTAGCAATTAAGAAATACAGCTTGGTAGCATAGGAGAGACACATGCCATATTAATTTTTTTATAAATCATGAAATAAAATCATTTAACACTTAAAATTTTTATTCATATTAGATGATACAAGTCTTGTTGACACGCATGACACATTATTCTATCGTCAAGAAACTGAACACAAAATTTTAACCAAAGCGGATATTCACTAGAACAAGCATCCATGTCCATGAGTTTGGTTACATACCCCTTTTATTCTTTGCCCGAGTGAATTCTTTGGCTTTTTCAACTTCTCCAGCAGCCTTTTTGTCGAGCAACTTCTCCTTTATCTCTAACATTTCAACTGTCTATATGATTCAAGGAACAAAACATTCAAAATGAGAAAAAAATTCCCTCAAACTGTAAATTACCGCTGAAAACAACCAATGAACTTTGCACACATCGAGAGTTAGGTTATGTAATAATATCTAGAAAAACTATACAAATAAAATATAAAGTTGCAGGAAAAAACACAGGATTTAATAAGCAAAAAATCAGATAATAAAACCATCACTTGGCTATTGAAACTGTGTTTTAGAAGAGAAGAAAAAAAGTAAGCATATACTGATAATGATGTGAATGTATTTAGTTTACTAGTCTAGCTAAGATCAAGCAATTCCCATAAGAGTAACACTAACAGAACAAAACCTTTATAAGATAAAAAAAAGTCTTATGTTCCTCCAGATTGTAAAACGTATCATCCCTAATGTTGGAAAACAAATTACAAGCAAGAAGAAACTAAAGGCTTAATTGAGATATGGAGCAATTGATATTCAACATCCACAATACACAGGAAATTCATTTCTTCATTGTTCCCAATACGATAACGTTGATCAATCACGAGAAAAAAAAAAATCTATACTCTGAATTACAATATAAATCTAACTGATGCGGAATTTGAAGACAGAACAGTTATATTTTAATTATCAAATATGTACACTTCACAAAGCAATGTCGAGTTAAAAAAGAAGAAGAACAATTTCCCAGTTAGGTTAGTCAAATCCGAGTTACCTCGTATAACTTTTCCAAAGTCGTAAGAGGATTGGCTTCCTGTTTAGGTTTACCAAAAATGCGATTAAACATGGTTGATTAGGAGATGTTGAAACAGCGATACCCTTATGCGTCGCAGAGGAATGTTAAAGGGGCAAGGTCAATTGATACCCCCGAATTCGCCAACCGATCTCCCTGGAACGACAAAAGAATCAATCAAGATCGATGACTTGAAATTGTAAATAAAAGAATGATGGCGTGTAAAAAGGTGGAGATGAACGAACCCTGTTGAAAAATTAGGGTTTGGAGTGACACAGAGAGGGAAGATTAACTAATGTTTCCAATGAAATAGAGAAAGATCTGCTAAAGAACGAGTAAGAAAGAAGGGTATCGTAGAATGGAACACACACAGTTCTATGGATTGTGGCCTTGTGGCCCCTTTGTAATTAGGGGGAAGATATTGTAATAAACGAGGGAGTGTATTAGATTATGATTTTGAAATATTTTTCTAATATAAAAATTCTTAGAGATTTTAAAATACTACTTATAATCGGACGGATTTTAAAGTTTTTTTAAAAAATATTGTTTACAATCAATATTTTAAAAAATTAGATTTTAAAATTTTTTAATAGAATTCAAGATTTGAAACGACAACGTGGATTTATAAGATTTTAAAAAATTATATAAATTTTTAACAAACATTCAAAATTATAAGAGTCAATAAAAAAATAACAAAAAAATGTAATAATATTAATAAAAAAAGTAAAACCTAATATAATTTTTAAAAAATATTCACAATTACTTAGTAACAACTCCTCACATATCTAAAATTATACTAGTCATCCATGCATTAACATTTTCTCGTTCATGCTCTTAGGTTTAATCAATAAGTTAAAAATTATCTTCTTCATTTGTATCAGAGTTAAAGATTTCATAAGATTGAATTTTACAGGATTTTAATAGAATTTACAATATTTGAAACGACAATATGGATTTATAAGATTTTAAAAAATCATATGAATTTTTAACAAACATTCAAAATTACAAGAGTCATTAAAACAATAACAAAGAAATGCAATAATATTAATAAAAAAAGTAAAACATAATATAATTTTTTAAAGATATTCAAAATTACTTAGCAATAACTCTTCACATATCTAAAATTATACTAGTTATCCATGAATTAACATTTTCTCGTTCATGCTCTTAGGTTTGACCAATGAGTTAAAAATTATCTTCTTCATTTGGTATCAGAGCTACGCATATATGATTATAAGACCCAATTTTTATTTATTTATTAAAATATTTCTAAATTTAAGTATAGAACCTAAAGTTCATGACAAAATTTCGTTTGAATTTTTTGTAATTGATCTTGGAAACCTTGGGGGTTTTGTTATACGTGGTTAGAGTTTTCTAACCATGTATCATATGCATGTTTTTATTGAGTATTCTAAGAAAATTTCGAATCTGAATTTCTGGGTTTTATTATATGAAAGTTTAGAAAATTTCTAAAATTACTTTCAATCGGCATTAAAACCTGAATTTCTAAGCATTCGTTAAATTATTTTGGGGCTTTTGAAAAACAATTTTTTAGTTATCTACTGATACAAAAATTATTTGAAATCGTTTCGTATAGTGAAGGAATTTTATTCATGAATGTATTATTACGAAATATAGAGTTTATATTATGAAAGTTTCAAACTTTATTTAAAATTGATTTTGTTTCATTGATCTAAAACAAAAATTGGTTTGAGGATTTTATGTTATTTTTAATACAAAATCATACCTTATGTGATGAGAAAGACCCATAGTTTGAAAAATTATTTTTAAAACTTCCAAAAAACTCTCAAAAATTTGTTGTTTTTGAAATGGAATATATTAGAATCTTGTTGGTTTGTTTTTTCTGGTTTGTCTTGTGATGAAAATCGCTCAAAAATCTATTGTTTTTGAGCTTTGACAAAGCTCTCATGGTGGAATCTGATTTTGAGCGAGTCAACCCACCAAAGGAAGAAGAAAACACTGCAATAGATAAATCTCAAGAAGTCCTTCGGGTTAGGGTGAGATTATAAAAGAGACATCTAATTTATATTTTTCACTAAAAAGTCTCACGAAATCCACAGCAATAGAAAATCTATTAAAATCATCAGATTTTTGAATACTACAATATTGTTTTTCTTTTGTTTAAAATCTTAATTAAATACCAACGGATTTGGATGAACTCTAAAATAATTTTTTAAAATCTTAATCAAACATGACTTTTTTTCAGTCCTTTATAAAATATCAATGGATTTTTTTGTTAAAAAATAATCTATTAAAATCTTTGAAATCTCACTCCAATACATTCCCTAAATAGTGTTATTACTAATGTTATTACCAATTAATTTTACTATTAAATTGTTTACGTTGAATATGTTGGATCGATAGGCCACGCTTCCACCTCTTTATGAATTTATTTAGTTATAAAATTTTATTTATAATGCAAATAAAAATAATTATTTATTATCTTTCACATTCTTCTGATTTCGTTTCGTTTCGAAACCCAATCTGTGGTTCTCATTTGAACAGAATAGTGGATATAATTGCGATAAGCTATGGTTCTAACTGCAATTGTATGGTAATAGTAAGAGGTGCATAATTCTTATTTTGTCATTCCCATTTTTTATTTTTTTGGAATTGACAACGCTGCCATATTTGACAACCCCCAAGGCACTTCGCGCCTTACCTTTGTATCAATGATATTAAAATTAATTCGGTCTTTATCCAGGTACTAGATCATTGGTTCAACCATTAAATTATTGATTCAATTGTATGATCTGGTGATTATATTTAAATCTATAATTTATATTAAAAAAATTATAAACATAATCAAATAGTTAAAAAAATAATATAAATTCTAAATATTTTAATATAAAAAATAATAAATTATACATTATTATCCAATAAAGGATCAAACAAATATATAATTTTGTGATATTGGTGTTTCAGGTTCAGTAAATGATATCTCTAACTATAAATCAAAAAAAAAATTCTGCATAGTGCATAACTGAGATAATATTAGTATTGTAGATACATAACTCATGTAGTCAATAAGAAACAGATCACAAAAATATGTTAATTATGAAAAAAAAATTAGAAAACTTTTTTTTTTGAAAATATTTTTTTTAAAAAAACCCGGGTCGGGTCATTGGTTTTCACTAAAATCGGCCGGGTCGCACCAGGTCTGGTACTTGGCCGGTCCAATGTGATAATCGCACCGGTCAGATGACCGGTTCATTGGGTTTTGGGTCAACCCGGTCGGTCCGGTCCGATTTTCACAACATTGCTTTGTACAAAAGAGGTGTCAGTCAAAGGGCAAATTATTTTAAATATTAAATAAAAAAATTATATTTACAATTTTTTTTTTACAAATTTACAAATTATATTAAATATGACTGGTCAGAGTATAGTGTACTTTGTAAACAAAAAATTTGTAAATATAACTTTTCCTTTAAATAAATATAATATAGTAAAAGTAGAAACATTAAATTCTATTAAATATTATCTCGGGGGACAACATTATTTGTATATGAGAAATAATTTTTTTGTGTGGTAGGAAAATATTTGTCTCGTGTTGTCGAAATAAAATTACAAATGGGATCCACATGTAAGAGGAGAGAAAAAAAAAAAAGAGATCCCACCCCTCTTTTGTATGTGTAAGAAAATTATTTCTCTCGTGTAAAATGAGGTGAATATAACCTTATATATATATGTCAATTTTTTAATACTTTTGTGATTAATTTTTATTTAAATTCATCTACCACCAATTCTAACTAATTTGAAATAAGAATGTTGTTGACATTTTTGTGTGTGAAAGAATGTTGTTGACATTAATATTGGTTAAATATTAGGGTAATAGAAGTATCGTGTAACAGGATATTTGTTGCATCATGTCCACACACAATATTTGTGGAGTCCACCAATATATATATTTTTTTTTGAAAAAAACAACTTAATAAAAAAATATGCATATGTCTGCAAGAACAGGAATGGGGTCATGTAATAGGACTATAGCAAAACCCTAAATATTATCTTGTTCATTTTGTATAACAAGTATAACATGAATAATATTCAATGTATATTTGTTTAAGTTGTGCATCGACTATTAAATAACAAAAATTATATTGTTACTTACGTGCACTAATAGAAAAAAAACAAATTGGAAAAGAAAAACTATATATTAATTCCACTTGCATTACACATGTTTAATAATAATAATATATTCAGATCCATCTATTATCTATAACTCAAGTAAATATCCGATAAGAACAAGAAAAATCAGGCAGATGAGCCCAAGTAAGATCAAGCTCGATTAATTCAAAAAAATTGGACCTCTAATTTATTCAAGATTTTGAAATACAATGATTAAATTTGGAGAGGTGGCATGGTTGGTGGGTGAGCTATATCCAATAAGTGGATTGTTAGAGTTGAATGATTTCTATCTAATTATTAAGCAAAGCAACTTGGACGCGTGGCAAAAATATTTGGGGAAAAATGTTTGTCCTTTTAAATGACACAACTTATATCCTTTCACTCTCACAAAGAGGTGGGACCCACAATTTTATTTTTATTTTGTCTATTCTCTCTCCTCCTTTATCTATATCTATGCATGAGAACCATTATATTCCCTAGCACTGTTTCTGAAAAGAATCAATTCTTTTCTAATTCTGTGCCTTGGAGCAGTTTCTGAGAAAAAAAATGTGTTTGGTAACATGTTCTATTTTTATTCCGTTAATGAGAATTGTGTTTGATAACACAACAAATAATATAATAAAAAATAATTTCTATTAAATATAAAAAAATTCGGATCATCACTTTCCTTTCCATATGGTGTGGTTGTGGTGGTGGTGGCGGCGGCGGTATGGTAGTGGTGGTGGCAGTGACACGGTGAAGATAGTGGTGGTAGTTGTGACGACAGTGGCTGAGACGATGACGGTGGTAATGTTGGTGGTGGAGGTGACGACAATAGTTGCAACAATGGTGGTGGATATGGTGGTTGGTGGTGGTAACAATGGTAGCAATGGCATGGTGGTGGTGGTAGTGACTGCGGCAGTGGCCGTAGTGGTAGGTGACAGTGGTGGTGATGGTGGCAGTGGTGGCGATGGCGTGGTGATGGTAGTGGCGGGGTGGTGTAATAGTGGCGATGGTGGTGACAGTAATGTAATGGCTTTGACGATGGTGGTAATGGTTGGTGGTGGCGGCGGCGACGACGGTGGTGGCTGCGACAATGGTAGTGGTGGTTGGTGACAGTGGTGGTGATGATAGTGGTGGCGTCGTGGTGGTAGTAGTGATGGCGATGGGGTGGTGGCAGTGGCGTGTGATGGCGATGGTAGTAGTGACGACAGTGGTTGCGATAATAGTGGTGGTGGTTGATGGCGGTAGTGGTGACGGTGACAGTGGTGGTGGCGGTGGTGGCGGCGGCGGCGATAGTTGTGGTGGTGGCGACGATGGCATGGTGGTAGTGATGGGTGGAGGTGGTGGTAATAACGGTAGATGTGAAGAGTGATTGAGAGAGATAAGTGTTTCTCTTTTTGTGCCCGGGAACAAAAAAGCAAAAAAAAAAATTGACTCTTTTTTCTGTTCCCCGGCACAAAAATTAAACCGGTTCATCCCGGAAACAAAAAAATAAACCGATTTTACCGAACGAGTTTCCTATCCATTTCTGTTTTTGGGAACAGAAATTAAAAAAGAATTGATTCCGGAAAGGTTGTCATGCGCACCCTCAAAATGACACAACTTTACATTCTTTAAAATGACACACATTTTACCCAAATATTTGTGTTTTATGCCATAAAGAAAATTAATCTCATTCAAACAGGTAGAAAATCCTACAATAATAATCTCTTTTATCGAAAAACTTTATAATTATATAATTTTTTAAATTAATAACAAATTGGTTTTTATATCTTTATTTATTTAATTTTTCGTCTTTATATTTTCTTTTGGTATACATCCTTATTAGGGGTATAAATGAGCTAGGTCGGCTTACAGGAGCCTACAGCCTAGGCTATATTAAGTCAAGCTTGGCCTATTATAATAGTAAAATAGAACAAGCTTAGACTTTTAAAAAAGCCTATTTAGAAAATAGGCCATAGGTTTTTTTGTATATGTCGGACCTATAAGCCTACAGGCAGACCTATATCATATTATTTATTTAAAATATAATAAATAAAATTATTATTTTAATAATTTTGAATAATAAAATATTATTATTGTAGTTATTCTTTTAATTGTTGAATGTTTAATTGGCTTAAACAGGCTAATAGGCCTAGGCCAAAGTTTTTATTTTTTAAATATAGGTCATGGCAGACTTGTAATTCGAGGTCTACACAGGCTAATAGGCCAAGCCATATTCAATGTCTTTACACAGACTTGACCTATTTAAGTCGAAGCCTAGCCTAGCCTATTTACGCCCCTAATTCTTATACCATTAAGGTTTTGATATTTTTTTTTGGAATCAAACAAAGATTAATATATTTTTGAAAAAAATAAAGATGATTTATTATTAATAAATAGAAATTATAAGATTTAATTAAATGCAAAAATTGGTATTCATTAATAACGACTACAAAAATATGGAAATTAAAATGTAAAAAAATAAGAATTAAAATCTGAATTACTACCAAAAAAAATTGTATACTTTAAACCAAATTATCAATTATTTTTTTGCACATGCAATTTCTTGAAAAACTTCAAAGCAAAATCCTCTCTTTATAGGTTGCCTGAAAAATGGGGAACCTTATCACACGCATCTTATACACCTTTACGTTAAAGATATTTGTCTCCCACCTAAATGGGCATACAAGATAAAAAAAAAAAACAATTGTGATTCCTTTTTATTATTGGTGAACTTTTTCTACCCTATAAATACTCCTCACTATTATTGAGAGGCACTCTTTGCACATCAATTTTCTTTGTTGGTAATGGTATTATGCCGAAATACAACCACAATAATAATTGTGCCATACATATTCACCTTCATTGTTAGTCTATTTTTTTGAAACCCACTACTCTTTGGATGAGCTTAGATCTATATCTGTGCTAGAATTTTTTTTTTTTTAATCCACTGTAATAAGAAGAAATGAAAAGAAAAGAGAAGGAACCCAAAATTTACTTAGTCAGTGATTTTAATCTTGATTGCATATAATTAAACCTATTTAATCGACAATTGGTAACATAAGTAATTTTTTTTAAGGAAGTTACGGTTGGAAATCTTGCACTTTAACTATAGAAGGTACGTACGATTCATAAAACGGGTCCTTAATCTGGGTTTTACTATCGTTCAAGCAATTAGATTTGGGAACAACATTTCTAATTATCTAATAATCTTCAAATTAACTTGACTTGGTTGATTTGATTAAACCACTTAAGAATACGTTAGTAACGGACTTTTCAGAGCAATTAAATATGACTTAAGAATCTCTGAAATTCTTTCTAAACTGATGACACTGAAATTAAAAGAGTGGACACTGAGCATTTCCGTTTCAAAGACCTCATACGCAACTTAGCACTTTGATATTTAGGGTTTTAAGTTTGAGGTGTGGCTGTTATTGCCGACGTCGCCGCCGCTAACAATGGCAGAGCTTTCTTCTCCGCCGACGGACCAATTAGCTGCCGTTACTCTCGACGACGTTCCCAAAGCCGAATTTTCCGATCGCGTCCCGATCCGTTCCATAATATCCCGGTCTGACGGCGGGTCGGGTCTCGCCGGTCGTAAGGCGAGGATCGGCGGGTGGGTGAAGACGGGAAGGAAGGCGGACAAGGACGCGTTTGCTTTCTTGGAGCTTAACGACGGATCCTGCGCCGGGAACCTTCAGGTGATCGTGGAGGCTTCGCTTGCAAACCTAGGAGAACTCGTCCCCACCGGAACCTCTGTCGTCGTCGACGGTCACCTCAAGCTTCCCCCCTCCGGCACCAGGCAGAAGGTGGAGCTTCGCGCCGACAAGGTTCTCCATGTGGGTCCCGTTGATCCCGCTAAGTACCCTTTGCCCAAAACGAGACTCACTCTCGAGTTCTTACGAGATATCGTTCACTTTCGTTCTAGAACCAACACGGTACTTTTCTTTCTTTTCTTTTCTCATTTTTTTTTTTTGATGCCAATTGAGTATAGGAGTATAATAGTTGGTGGATTTATTTTGTTGTGAAGGTAGGAATAGGAAATATATTCATATGATTATTGTGTTTGATTGCAGATCTCTGCTGTTGCTCGAATTCGAAATGCTCTTGCTTATGCTACACATACTTTTTTCTATAAGCATGGATTTCTGTATGTGCACACGCCAATTGTCACGACGAGTGATTGTGAGGGTGCAGGTGAAATGTTTCAGGTGACAACTTTGCTCAGTGAAGCAGAGAAGTTGGAGAAGGAACTTTTACAAAATCCCCCTCCAACAGAAGCCGATGTAGAAGCTGCTAGGGTTCTTGTTCAGGAGAAGGGGGAGATTGTTTCCCAATTGAAATCTGCTAAAGCAAGTAAGCAGGAAATTAGTGCTTCTGTGGATGAACTTAAAAAAGCAAAGGAGAATCTCTCGAAGCTTGAGGAGAGATCTAAACTTAAGCCTGGTCTTCCTCAGAAGGATGGAAAGGTGGACTATACTAGAGATTTCTTTGCCCGTCAAGCTTTTCTCACCGTTTCAGGCCAGCTTCAAGTTGAGTCTTATGCATGTGCTCTTAGTAGTGTATATACCTTTGGGCCAACATTTCGTGCAGAGAATTCTCACACTTCCAGGCATTTGGCAGAATTTTGGATGGTAGAACCTGAAATAGCTTTTGCAGAATTGAAGGTATACAAAACTTGAACTCACTCTCATGCATGCCTAATCATGGTTAGTGGCTATTATTTTAAGTGTAAGGAAATATGCTGTTGTTCTTTTCTTTCATTCTCTCTTTATCTAATTTCTCATCATCAGATGCGTTGTTTGTTGCCGGTGGTATACTTATCAGCCGAATGTCAATTCAAATATTTGATTTTTAGTGCAATAAACTTGTTATTTTTCTAGTGCAATGTTGAACTGCCCAGTTCCCCCCTCCAACTCACTCCTATGTTTGGTGCTTTTGCTTTTGTGGTGGAAATATTGAAGTTCTTTGTTTTGCATTATTGTGTAGGATGATATGAACTGCGCTGAGGCATATGTGAAATTTATGTGTGAGTGGTTACTTGAGAACTGCCTTGAAGATATGGAGTTTATGGCTGATAAGTTTGATAAAGGTTGCATTGACCGATTGAAAATGGTTGCTTCCACCCCCTTTATTCGTGTTTCATATACTGAAGCAGTGGAAATACTAGAGGAGGCTGTGAAGAATGGTAAGAAATTTGAGAATGAAGTGAAATGGGGGATCGATTTAGCATCTGAGCATGAAAGGTACTTTCAAATTTGTTTTTTCAAGTTCTTGTTCTTATTGACGTGGTTGTATGATATCTTGAGGGTGTGGTGTTATGCAGATACTTAACAGAGGTAAAGTTTCAGAAGCCTGTCATTGTCTATAACTATCCAAAAGAAATCAAAGCATTCTACATGCGACTCAATGATGACTTAAAGACAGTGGCTGCTATGGATGTGCTTGTCCCAAAGGTGTGTTGTAGGTGTATATTTTAAACATGTCCTGGCTACTGATGATGTACCTAGATACCTAGTGGCTTTTAAGGCTGGCATAATAGACGCATTTGAATGTATTTTCAGGTTGGAGAGTTAATTGGTGGAAGCCAAAGGGAAGAGCGTTATGATGTCATTCAGGAAAGGTACAAGAATTGTAATGTATCTGTTTATGACACATAAATGTGCTCTCTTTACTTTCTTTTCTTAATTTGTGTTCTTTTGTAAAGGATTTTGCTGTACTCGGAAGCTGTTTCACTTTATTATTACCTGTTAATGTTGTTTTTATACTGCAGAATAAAGGAGATGGGGCTGCCTCTTGAGCCATATGAGTGGTACCTTGATCTAAGGCGGTATGGAACAGTGAAACATGCTGGATTTGGTCTTGGCTTTGAAAGGATGATTCTTTTTGCCACCGGCCTTGAAAATATTAGAGATGTGATTCCCTTCCCACGATATCCTGGCAGAGCAGATCTATGATCGTTATTATAAATTACAAGCGGCTATTACAATTCTTCTGCTGAAGTAGTTTAGACAGAAATGTAGTTTTTAAATATAGCATAAAAATTAGTCCTGTGGTGGTTACAGCCCAGAGTCAGGGTGCTGGTAATTCCTTTTGAAAGGATGCTGGGTTTTATATGTTTAATCAACTTATTACTTCCGTTTTTATGTTTGTTTGGGATGATTGACTTGTGCCCAAAAAAATTACCATGATATGGCTTTTTTAAAATAAAAAGCGTATCTTTTTTTCTAAAAAATAAGATGAATCACACGTGTCAGTACTAGGAAAATGTGGTGGATGATCTAGCATTTTGTCTTTGCAACGCCACGTGACAAATATTATTCCACCCCAATCAAGTTTTGGGATCCTATCCTATCCCCAAAATGATAGGAATCACTGTTATCAACTCGGCTCGAACTGGCTGGGTTAATTCAAAATAATGTTGGTGAACTGGCTGGGTTAACTCAGCTTATAGGAGTGAAGTGTTGGTGATCCGGTGGGTCAGTAAAACACCGGTGGGTCATGCATTTTTTTTTTTAAAGAATAAAATAATGTTGTTTTGTTCACAAAATTAAAAAAAAATCAGAACTTTTCCTAAACGAAAGCTTTACTTGCAATGGCTGATTCTACCACTTACTCCAACACTTCACTTCTCCAATTGTTGATTCTCATTTTCTTTTTATTTCACAAGTCGTTAGCTCTGAGCTCAAGTCTCTCTACCTTGTCATCTTTCCAAATGCCTTTTTAGTCTCATCCTTGTTCGAGGAGTATGTGTGTTCATGGTTTTCTTTTCTTTTTTTAATTTTATTTTCTTTGTATTTTTGTAAAAAAAACTCCAACTTTAATTTTGAAAATGAAGTCCTTAATAAAGTACTTTTTTCGTGTATCTTATCTTTGAATCATAGAAAATCTAGGAATAGGTTTTTAATAAAAATATTTTTAAAATCCTAAATTCCCATGCATGAATTTGTTTAATCAAAATGATCATACTAAAAATTGTCTGCATCGGCATTAGTGCATTAGTGTCTTGAATCGAAATTGGTATACAACTTCCCAACTTCTGTACAATTTGTAGAATTTGATGTGTAATTTACATAATAAATATAGCAACTTTCTTACTAATGTGAAAGGACTTGTGGATTTTAGAGGATCCAAAATTGTAACTAACACATTCTCACGAAAACAGTGCCCTTTTCTCCAAATGCCAGCTTAACTCCATAAGCTGGTCCTATCCTCATCATCTGTTTTCTATACAACCAAAGGAAATACAAAAAGAGTAGGTGAATCCATACAAGAAGTCATCTCCGGTCTGTGTGCTGTTGGCTGATAAGGGTATCGGGGTCAACTCATATGATAGATTGAAAATACTTAGTACTTTATTTGGCCATTCTGCTCCAAATTGTTTTTCATGCCACTCCTCCATCACCGAGGCAGAACATCAATTCTAGCTTGCTTTGTAGGAATACATGGATCCGCGAAGCTTTCTGACCTCTTCTGATGACTCTGTTAGTAAATGGTCCACGTAGAGGCAGATTGCAGCTACACTGTAGCATAGTAACCAAGCAATGCACTTATTTAGTTTATGCTTACAAAAGATGAAATGAAACACCAACAGGAAGAAATCATGGCTTACCTAAGAGGACCAAATGGCAGCCAGATAACATCCCAATGGAACTTTGGCAACCTACCAAGAAAATTGTTACTGCTATGAATTAAAAGATGAGAAACACCTGAAATAGGGGATATAAACCAGGAAACACAACTTAAAGAGTCCTCCATCCCACTATACTAGAGAAGAATGTGTACATGCTTCCTTTATCCTATATTTTTCTGCTTTATTTGGGTCCAATGGTAGAGCCTATTGATTTATCTAGCTAGAAAATCCAAACTGAATATAATACCGAATACCAATACATAGAGTTTCATTATATATTTTATTTCACTTTTCTATATTGTAAGTTTGTAACTGGTTTACCAATATACTAAATCAAATATGGAGTATACAAAATGCATCAGCTGGTGCTTATCTAAGAACTTCACCTCAACATGTAATATAACCAGAAAATTGCCAGAATAATTCCAGTATAACATGAGTACTGGATCCATCTCCTGCGATGCATTGAATCATGAAGCATTCCTATGATGGAAAATGAGCATGCTAAAACAGCCACCCAGTCTGTAGAAGTTATTCAATTAACAAGGTTTACAGAGATAATCCTCATAATTTTATAAGTGAATAGAATATCATATCTCACCCTCAATTGCAAATCAGTAAAAGCACATAAGGAAAGTAAAGGGTGCAAACTGAATATAAAGGGACTAAAAACCACAGTTATATAGTAAAAGGATAATACAATAAGAATCGAGGAAAGAGGTCATGATTTAATAGGAAGCTGAAGTACATGTATATGATTCCTGACAAAAGGAGAAATGAACCTGCAGATATAATCATCCATGAGTAGATCTCCTCCATGAAATATGCATGATACCGCTGTTTATCAAAGAACAAAGAAAGGCAACAACATATTCGGTAAAAGAAACAATCATGAAATTCAGAAAATGATAAAAAAAAAAAAAATTAACTGGAAAGATTTCAATGTTATAAAATTTGTAAAAAGAAGAGTAAGAAGGTAGAGTCTTTCCACATCTTCAAGCTGAAGACGTTAACAGAAGCACTGCCAAACAACTTATTTTCTTCAAAAATACATTATGCACACAGATTATTATATTCTGATAATAAAATAAAAACAAACGCACAAAGAAATTAGATATTCAACAACACCCATATTCTCACATCACATGCAACCTTGAGAGACCACTTGTTATAACATAAACCTCCTTTAATATTAAAGTATAAACTGTCTCTCATTGTTTTTCTACCTTACACTGATACACAGCTTCGCAGATTTTAGTGCATAATCAAGCTAAAAATCTTGAAACATACCAGTTCCCAAGGTGATGTAGCCTGGTGGAAGATGGAGTACAAAAGAAACAGGATGTAACAGAAGAATAGAGTCGCAAATACCGTCTACATAAAAAAAAAAAAAAAAAAAATCTCAGGTGAGCCTGAGCCCAATATATTACAGATTTCAATCAAGTTACGAGTAAAAACAAAACAAAAATGGCATCGAATTTTATATATATATATACCCTCCATAAGCGACTCTGCTGAACTTGACTCTGTTCTAAAGAACGAACCAACTCTTCTTGCTCTGTACATCAAAATCTAAATGTTCATTAACTAGAACTGGAAGATGACCCCATTCAAATCTATTTGAAAAAATTAAATCTTTTTAATTTTTTCTGCGATCCAAAATAGTTGAGGAAATTATGGTTCATAGTAAAAGGAAAAGGAATTATAAAAATAGCATCGAACCTTGTGAGTCCAAGGGACGAGAGTCTTCGTCTTGAAGAGGAAGAGAGAACTTGTCCCCTTCTGAATTCCGCAACGTTCTCGAAAGCTTCTTCATTTCTCTAATTTTCCGATTTCTTTCCTCACCCACAACACTTCTCCCTTCGCCAATTTGAAAGCCTTTCTCGGAAATTCTTGTTATTCAATTGATTTTAGGATTTGCTTACTATAATACAATACAAATATTACCATTTTTCACCGCCAACTTATTATCTATCTGATCTAATCACTATTAGATTAATATTTTCTCTCTCTTCAAATGTGATGGATAATAAGTTAGTAGTAAGAACTATTGGTAGTTAGAATATCGTCACTTTAATACAAATGACGTGGTTATGTTATGAATATAAATGATTTTCAGTTTCCCTTTTTTAAGGGTCGAGGTTATACTTACAACTTATTTTCCTTTACAATCTCTTACAACCAATATCTTAACCGTTAGTTTTCGTCAATCAACGGTTAAGATTTATTGTGAATTAATAATTATTTAATAAATTTTATTTGCAAAAATCTTAACCGTTGATTGACGAAAATCAACGATTAAGATATTAGTTGTAAGAGGTTGTAAAAGAAAATAGGTTGTAAGTATAATCTTCCATTTTCTTTAATTTAAAAAGAGAACAGATCAGAATACCGAGAGGAATGTCGTTCCTAAGTTTTTTTCGTGATATCTCTTCATGACAAATAGCAATGCTCATTTTTTATGCACTTGGCTTTTATTTTTCATTTTTACAATAGTTTCTTTTCACACAATTATATTTTCAAAATACATTTTTAATAGAGAAAAACTTATTTAGCTTAATGAAGTGCAACTAATTTTTTTTTTCAAAGCCCAATCACAAGGTGTTTGGAACTCGATTTGTTAAATGAGGAGACTGCAACAACCTTTGGAGCATTATGTTAATGAATGCTTTGTAGTTGTAATCATATATTATTATCAGATAGTTCTGGACTTCTGGTGAGGCGAAATTGATGAGGCACGGACAGTAATAGCAACACATGCTAATGAATCACTATGGCAGTGTCTGTGATCATTGCACAAGGACAAAGTTTTACAGTGCTTTAGTGAGAGATTGAACTAAACAATCCAGGAGAATGAAGAGTTACGGAAATGATAGCAATGAAGACAATCAAGATTCAAGAGTGGGCGTGCTTGAATACAAAAAAAAAAACGTAAAAATCATTGGCACAGTGAAATGAATTGCATCAGTCTTCGCATTCATCAACGTTGTCATTGTAATCAATTGTAGTTTTATTCTTTAAGCTCACTTAATAACACTTGCACATAAAAGGAATGTACACCAAAAAAAAAACAAAAAACAAACAATAGAGCATAGAGAATAAAAACAAACAATTATGCACCTCAAGCCACTTCATTCCTTTCGTTTTCACCGATAGTTTTGTTATATGATATCCCGTTCGAAGTCAACTTTTTTCATTTTCTCATCAACCTCAGGCCCCCGAAAAAACAAAGAAGAGAGAAAGTCAAACTCAAAAACATAGATAGTTTTGTTATATGATATCCCGTTCGAAGTCAACTTTTTTCATTTTCTCATCAACCTCAGGCCCCCGAAAAAACAAAGAAGAGAGAAAGTCAAACTCAAAAACATAGATGCTGTTTCATCTTTTCTAACGCAAACAAAACAGAAGGCAATTGATGTTATCAAACTACATATGCCTGATGTCTCAACAAAATCAAATGTAAACGTAAAAACTACATTAGCATAGCCAATAAATATATCCACTATATCAATCCTCTTCGTCAATGACCTTGGTGCCCAAACCTTTCAGCTCCTCTTTAGGGATTTCAACAATGGTAACAAGGGAGTATAGCTCTTCCTTTGCATCCTCATCGTCGTTCCTCTTGCGATCAATTCGTACCCGAATCCTCCTTGGTACACTTCGAATCCCCTGGCTCCAGACATACTTGTTCAGCTTCACATCCACTCTCACATCATTGGTGCCCATGGCTTTCTGGGCAAAGCTCCTAATCTCCTTAATTGCTTTAGGAGCTTTCTTCTTAAATGTGCTGATTTTCATAATAACGTCACAAACAATGAAAAGTAAGATATCTCAGAATGTTATTACAGACAAACAATATGAATTAGTTATCAGTTTATACACTTTTTTTAACAGAGATGTTACTTCATCCCGACAAACCACCAAATAAAATAAATGACAAAGACAAAAGTAATGGTGAAATTGTCCATCATTGTCAAGTGATCAATGCACAACATTAGTGTGCAATAGCAGATTTTTATCCCCAATTGCAACAAGAATGGGGTTGCAACAACTTTACTCCACTCCAAGAAAATAAACCCAAGTCATTAGCCTTAAAAATGGCAAATGGATCCTCTCATGTGTGATTTAATATAACTGGGTCATGTGAGAGGATCTCAACCATTCATAGTCAAATAGACAAATCAACTGTTATTTTTTTCTCACACTTTATCCCAACATTTTATCTCTCTCATCTCTCATCACAGTCTGTTGATTTCTCTACAAATTATTAAGATCATCTCAGGTGAATTAGGGTAGTACATCCCTAATATAACAAGTCACCATAGTACTTAATTACACAAACAATGACAATGAATTAGGGTAGTACTAAAAACAAAAGCAGAAAAGGGAAGGAAAAAAAGAGAGAGATTACCAGCCATGTAATCTTTTATGGAGGTTGATGGTGTACTCTCGGGTAACAACCTCCTCCTTCCTACCCTTTGTGTTCTCCACCATTGTCACTTACACCTACACAACACACAACACAACACACAATCCAACTTACTCATCAATTACTCAATATTTCATTTTGATTTGAATACAACATATAAATACAATGATTTTCCTTTGAAAACCAAACAGAGAACAGACCTTTCGATTGGGATTTGGAAAACGCAGCGATTAGCAGGTGTCGGAGGCCGAAGGTTGATAATAAGAAAGACGAAAAGTGTTTTAAATATCAGAACATAAACCCTAATGGGCCTGTTACACGATGGGTACAGCCCTTCTCCATTTAGTTAGTATTTTTTTATATAATTAAATGTATAAGTTTAAAATTTAGGGGCAGGATCATCTTACACCGGTGTAAGAATAATAAGTCTTACACCAAATCTTAACCATTGATTTTCTGCATCTAGCGGTTAAGATTTATTAGGTGTCACTCATTAATTAATTTTTAATTCCCAATGTTGACACCAAATCCTATCCCTAAAAAATTTAATATTACTTATGAGTCAATTTGTATAAAAATGTTGACACTTTTTTTTATTCAATAACTTAAGGAACGGAAGGTTAAGTAATTTCATTCTAACATACTTTTCAATAACTTATCAATGAACAGTTTTGTGAATCAAATGCAATATTTTTTTTTACAATTACTATTTCGATTAAATGATGCTCAAACCAGCATGTTAAACGTATATAACACTACTTGCCATACTTTATCGGGTCTACACTCATCATAGCCACCACCTTTGGGCCATTTCTTGATTGATGTGATATGTTAATGTTATTTACACAGGCGAAGCGGAAGAGTGCTCATTCTCTATAAAAATATAGAAAAAAATAAGTATTATATTGTAAGACAATTCTCGTATAATGCTACAGAGACAATAAGTGTCGGATCCATTACTTTTAAAATAAAAAGAAAAAAAAAAATACAGCACAAATATTAATGTATGTGTAAGAAACTCAACTTTTATTATGTAACATGACAAATACAAAACATGACCTTAATAAAAAATGGCATGCATTCGACTTATTAAGAGGCCTAAGTTAAGAGGTAATTTGACATCTATAACCCCAATTAATTCAAGTTTGACAGTCCAACAAAGTTCAAGGAACTTTTTGAACTAAAAAGCTCAAATGAAAAGGCTCAGCTTCAATATTATCAACGAGAGTTTTAACAAAATATTGTTACGAAATTGAAATGAGTTTGAATTTGGGTTCCTTATTAGTATGAGCTTGTTTTCAGCCTATACTTAAAAAACAAAATTAAAATCAGTGAAAAAGAGTAGGAAGAAAAGCTAATAATACATTAATACCTATGTCATCTACTTCCTGCGGAAAGAATCATAATAGAGGGGGAGCTCCACAGATTTGACCAATGCATCTCTACCCTTTTATGTAAACAAATGTATTTATATTCCCTCTAAACCATGTATATATATATATATATATATATATATATATATATATATATATATATATATATATATATAACGTTGATTAAGATGTATTGTGAGCGAAAAATATTTATACTAATTTTTTTAATAATTGGATATATTGTTATTTATTAATTTTATATTAATTATAAGAATAATAATGTATTAAAATATTAATAGGTGTCAATATAAAACTCTTTTATGTTAATTCATATTTTAAAAGAATATATATATATATATATATATATATATATATAGCAGTAATTTTTTTGACTCCCATTTCATCCGTTAATTTTCATTCATTTAATTGCTATAATTTATTTAAAATTAATAATTAATTAATTACTATAACTCAATAAATTACTATTATTAGATGGACAAAAATTAACGACTAATGTGAAATAAAATTTTTTAGTCTTACACAGAAATAAAAAAAACATTCCATATTTATATAACAAATGAAGATTAACATTATAACACTAATCCCGAGAAGAAGAAAAACTATATAACTAGATAATAAATGCAATTCACTAGTCTAACAAAGTAATAGAGTAGTTAATTACTAGCATGCCTATCGTTAATTAAACAAGATATACATATTTTTTAATCTTTACTCTAATGTTCCAAAGGTCTGAAAGTCATCCATTTTGTTCAAAAGTTGATAACTAAACCAATACAAACAGTTACAAATATTAATATATAATTAAAATAATTCTCTCTTACCAAATAAAAAAATATATATTTTTCAATCAATACACCTTACTATACTTATCCATACTATTTTTATTTTTATCCCGCTTCATGACGTATGCTAGCGATTGTGCAACCACTCATCTAGTCCACAGAAGATAAACGAATTCATATTTCAGTTATTTCCATATATTTGAAAGGTAAGAGATAAAAATAATAATAAAAGACACATAAAGATGAATGCAACGCCAATGTGCCATGCGTCACCAATCTTCTAATTTTGCACTCATGCCCATGAACTGTGTCTACCAGAGCAACTTTCTGAAAGATTAGAATATAACCAGAGTCATGAACACAAATGTTGCCCTATTATCCGGTTTCCAAATATTTTTGTATGCAAGTGAAGCTGAGTGATACAATTCTGTGCAAAACATAAAATCAATGTACAAATAATTCATTTCAACACACCTAATTTGCCTCCTAACTAACCTGTGTTATGTATGATCTATTCTTACAATGTTGGTACGCACATTTTATCTTTATGAAGTAAAGAATTGCTGTTGGAAAACTTCTAATTCAGGGCTCTGCGAAGCTAATGTTTGCTGTTATTTTGGGCACTCCGTGAATGCCTCAACAAACTAAAGGCCAAAACTGCCAGGCCAGCGATTCCGACTAAAATCTGCCACAAAACATAAAAAAAATGTAATGTGATTATGGTTGTCTATTATATACTCCAGCCATATTTCTCACTACAAGAAGCCTGTCTAACTAACCTTTGTTTTTCTGCCATAGTTTGTTCGAGTAGATTGGAATACTGATTTCAGTAATTTAAAGGGAGATGACTTGGGCATTAGAATCACTACAGTATACTGGTTTTTGCAAGGAAAAGGCAATATTTTCTGTAGTGCCAACCGTGCAGTTGATGGTGTAAGGGATGATCTAACTTTTAATCGCCCTTCATCTTGGATCTGCAGCAGGGATAATTGCAAAATCAATAACTTTTCATTTATATGAAAATGCGTAAATATGCTTTCTATAACCTATGATGTCAACATAATTTGCATCATACAAAACGATCATTTAATTAAAAAAAGCAGCTTATGTCAAACGGTTATTTATTTACATTAGATCATAACTTACAAGCAACATCCTACTGCTGGCTTTTTGACCCATCTGATGCAGAATCCAAAACATATTATCCGTTTAATTCTTTTTGGCAAACTATTTACCAATCTAATGAGTAAAACTTGCATGGGGAGTGTGCGCGTTTAAGTCGCGCATCAACCCCATCCGCGACTTGTGCAAAAGCCAAAACGCGCCAGCCATTTGTCATGCTAATACGCGTATGGGGTGCATGCAAGACTTGGATGCGCACTACCAGAATGCATGTCTTGCAATGCGCTGATTTTTGCACAAGCCGTGCATGAAGGTGATACGCAACTTAACGCGCATACTCCCCATGTGTGTTTCACTCGCATTAGATTGGTAAATAGTTTGCCACAAGAATTAAATCGGTGAAATGTTTGTATTTTTGCATCAGAAGGGTCAAAAGTCTCTCGCTGCAGCATTCAATTGTCAGAATCAAAATTCACTAAAAGAGAAAGATACTCTACATAAATTCATGTAAAACTTCATTTCAAACTAAAAATTCCATCATGGCCATAAAGCAACAGTACTGGAACTAGAAAATAGAATTCATTCCTTTCCTATAATTGAGGAAAGCTAAAATGAATATAATATATATTAATAGCCATGACAGATGGCATCTCAATTTATGGAAACGGGAAATAAAAACACAAAAATATGGTAATAGCCTAACCACAAAAGAAGTGCCAACATCACCAGAATAGACCCTTGATTGATAGCTGTGTAAAATCTTGTCCAGCCAATAATAATTTTCCTGAAAGAGCATGTGCAAATAAGAAAAATGAAATTGGGAGGGTAATGTTACTTCCATCATTTAATCCAAAAATCTGAATGCCCTTGTAGATATAAGAACTTGTATGTCTGCATGAATTTATTATGTTCCATTGACAGCTCAGAAACGGCTATGATGCTAATAAAACAAACTTTTAAAGGCTAAATTAACCTGCAGTCCATTCTCATGAGCTCTTTGCTCAATTTCAAGTATTGTTGAAACGTCTTGCTCTGATGGCCCTTCATCTTGAAGACGCAACATTTCATCCAAAGCAAAATCTACCTGTAAATGATTTACAAGACAGTAAATTTTACCGAATAACTACATTGAAAGTTCACTTATTTTGCATATGCAGGAGACTTGCCAGCTTGGAAGATATCTCTGGATCGCAAGAGAAATTTATGCTAATGTCACCACAAACATCACCTATTCTCGACGGTTTATTACCACCAAGGAATACTGAAACACCGACAGAGTATATCTGGTGCAGAGAGGTAAAGCCTCAGAATTAATATACCATAAAAGACAACAGAAGGAAAATGCTATTAACACATACACACCTGCCCATGCTTGAATCGGAGAACCTGCATTATTTTTGTTTCAAGAAGCTTGCTCAGAAACCCAACCAAGTGAATCTCTTCCACCTGCCAAATCATGCCCCCAAAGCAGGACAAAACACATTATACAAGCTATTGGTAAGATTTAGTAAATACACGTTTTTTAGATAATTGCATAAATTCAGCAATTAGAAAAGAAAAGAGCACAAACCATGGTTCCATTCTTCAGTTCCACAGGAAAGCATAGCTGCACCAAACATTGTGCTTCCACCATTGGACTCCGGACCACTTCTCTACAAGCACAGATTATGGTTTATTTGGAAGATGCATTCACTCAATCCTTCAAAAGTGTCTCAGTATCCACGCACAATTGATAATGTAGAAAGATGCTAGTAACATCCAAATTGTCAAAAAGATGCAATAGAGAAGTGAAAATATACAGTCTTTTCCTAGAGATATGTATAAGCATGGTCTTTTCTTTTTTCTTTTGAAAAAATAATATGGTTCATTTAAGAGCCTAACAATTTTTTCACATCTTTACCTCTAGGTACAAAACTACATACCAAATATTATAACACCTTTTGTTTGCAAATGCAATGAATTCATGTACCTATAGATGGTTGTCGGAAAAGTGAAAGGCAATCCTTTCAGCTCATCACGGTTAAAATTCATAATAGGTTCAGGAGGTTTTGGTATTCCACCCTGCATGGAAATAAAAGAAATTCTTTGCTATAGAATAATTCAAGATCTCTGGGCTTTAGGTGTATGGATTTCGACTCACTAGGTACTGCAATATCAAGGGCAGTGCAATGGTAGGATCAATATTCCCAACAATCACAACAGTAAAAGTTGATGGATCTTTGAAACATTTGCTGAAGTATTCACAAGCTTTCAGTGGATCCACTTTTTGTAGGTCACTTTTTCTAATAGGCTGCATAAAAAATAATAGCTGAAAGTCAAGAGTAGTTTATTCGGTGAATGATTTAAATTGACAACACAAAATACGCATACCCTGAAAAAATAGGAATTTCCATAGTTAAGCTCCTTTACACGGTTTGCAAAAGCAGTGTATGGATCCCTATCTTGAGCACAGACCGCCTCTTCAGCCATTTGCATCACTATTTTGACATCTTCTTCGTCTGGTGTTAAATTTGTTGTAAACAGCTGATAGACAAGCTGGAAAACAAACAAATAAACGTCAAAATAATTAGAAAGAGATAAGCAATAAATAGAACAGTGGAAAAGTAAAGAAATAGTAAAGAAAGGAATCCGAATAACAAAGTGTGTGTGTGTGGTAGGATCCAAATAACAAAGTTGGAAAGAAATAGTAAAGGAAACTACTGGTATAATATTGATTGAAAAAATGGAAGGTTACAAACAAGGTTGCAACAATGGCAGATTACAAAGAGAAATAGCAAAAGTGCAGAAAAGAAAAGATAAACCCAGGAGAATTATAGAGCTCCTAGACTCTCCCAATTTCCAAGATATCCCTTATGCCCCTTTGCAACTATTCCCTATCCTCTATACAACATGAGACTCACCTCAAAAAAGACATCCATAACAGAAAAAGGGAATATTATTCCCATAACTAACCACATGCTATTATTCCCATAACTAACCTCATACTGACTAAACGCCTTACTGTTAGGGGTCGTAACAGTGTGTCTGTGTAAATCATAACCACAGGAATCTTTATTAAAATCCCATCAAGAAAACATACGAGTAATATGATGCTAAACCCATCTAACTGTCACCAAAGAGCAAATATCCCTTACACTGAGCAATGTCTCAGTCAAACAATCAATTCACCAAAAACTACCTTCTACACTCAGAGTGTCCCTTTTTATACATCAGGCTAAACGCCTAAACCTCTCCCCCAAAAGCCTAACCATATAATTTCTGACCAAACTGCCTGATAGAGCAGTTACAACTAACTAACCAGGGCCATAATTAATGCCCCTAACCACTCTAGCTGTCCTTTGGGAATATACTTGCCAAGTAGCCCCGTATTCCTAATACGGGTCTTAACAAAGGCATTCATACATACACCTATGTGTAACATAAGTCTTGGTGAATGTATAGTAACCAACAGAATGATAAGTAGAAAAGCCAAGAATACAATTAACAGTTTTGAGGGATTACACAACATTAAAGCATAGCATAAAATCATAAGAACACCAAAAATTAACTGTAACTTAAATATAGAAGATATTGATATATTCAAGTTAAGTTCAGAAAACATACATGAAGTCCAAACAATGAATGGATGAAGAAAAAAGGAGAAGTATTACGATAGAACTGGACCAGAAATTAGAGAATAACATAGAGACTATGAGAATTTTATTGAATATCCTCATCCAACTTAGGATCAATGGGTATCCAGAGATCAAAAGCGCAAGAACTTTCCCAGGAATTTGAGAGCGTGCTCCCTACCTCCAAGATAAATTGACCAACTAACTCCATTTACATTTTCTCCCACTATTTATATCCTACCTCTGCTACTGTAGTTAGAGGGATAACAAACTCTAACAACTTTAACTAACAAGGCCCGACTAACAGAGGATGGCCACTTGGCTCTTCGGGGCCATCCTTAGTTCTTCTACATATACTTTCCTACCCATGGTAGTTAAAATCGGGATTTAAATCTTAAAATCCCGATTTTAACGATTTATTTTTGCTAAAACGGTTTAGATTTCACTTAAAATCCTTTCCAATATAAAATCCCGATTTAGACATTTACTTAAGTCCGATTTTAAGATTTAAATCCCGATTTTAAGTATTGGAATGATGTTAAGCAAGTTAGAAAAATTGTTGAATATAACATAGCTGATGTTTCATCCGAAGATGAATGGATTGTGGAAAATGAAGAAACTTTATCTCATGATGAAAGTTTAGATGAAGACAATTTTAAATGATGTAGTTGAAGATCACGTGGAACAGAATGTCTTCGATGATAATAACTTGAATGATTTATTAGCTTAGACCCTTAGAGTGTGACAATTGTATACAAATGGATAAGGATGGTGGCAGGTAGTCTATTTTTCTTAAATTTTTTTTATACATAAGCGTATGTATATAAAAATTTAATTTTAGAGTGCAGGTAAAATCTACGATTTTTATTACGATTTTACGATTTACGATTTTTTATTTCCTTTTCGATTTTAGGTAAAATCCCGATTTTGACTACCTTGTTCCTACCCATCCTTATTTCTACATTTTTTCTTCTAATTGTGTGTCTGTTGCTAACATATTATTAGGCATTAAGAACAAGATTACTAATGTACACTAACTTAAAAGTAAAAATAATTGCTTCCCGATTTAAGGCATAAACATGTAGATGTACAATTTCATAATGGTTTTTAAATTTCTCACTTTAGTGTGGAACTACATACTAATATAAATTGAGACCAAATCATGAAAAAAAACGACATAATTTTGCTAATTAAATCAAATATACCTGCAAAGCAGTTTCCAGGTCTGAAGGTGAACAGTCACCAGAAAAAGTTTTCATATATGCACCAATCTTGGTACCAACTTCAGCTCTCTTACCAGCAAGCATATCCATTAGGACAGATGGTCTATAACCAAACACACCAATTTCCCCAGCAATGGTTGGTCCCATTGAGCAAGAGAAATACTCGCTCTCTGAGAGTTCAGACAAGCCCCCATATGAATACCCTGTGAAGATAACCTAGAGACACAACTTTAGATTAGAACTGATGTAATTATCCATGCTATTCATAATGAAACACCACTGCATGGGAGTATGAATATTTGCTGATGCCTAATAAAAAATGCATGTGTATGCTAATTTCAAGTTCAAGTTACTAAAAAACAAAAAACTCAAATCTGTGGCACTACAAACAGCATATGTAGTTGATCACGTATAAAAAAAGGAGCACCAGTTTATTGTTTAAGTCCCACACCTAGAAAGATTTTATTGATAACAAACATATTGAGGTTATATGTGAATTAATCTCACAAATTGACGCTATTAGTTTTAGTAAGTTTTGATACAGGTTTGACAACCTCATTTATTAAAACCCAAAAGTTTTATATAACTCAATTCACCCCTTCTCAGGTTCATTTGGTACCAACAATTGGTGCCGCAGCTTTGTTCTTTGATAAGTGTAGGAAACTCCTAAAGAGAAGATCCTAAAGATGAACAAAATGAAAAATATTAGAGAAGACTACTCCGTCCAAAGACCTCCCTTCTTTGAAGGTAAATTTTACAACTATTGGAAAAATAGAATGGAAATATTCATCAAGGCTGACAACTACCAAGTTTGGAACGTGATTGAGAATGGAGATTTCAAATCACTACAAGGAATGACATGAGAAATCATACCCAAAACCACAAAAGAATACACTGATGAAGATTGAAAGAGGCTGGAGTTCAGTGCACAAACCAAGAAAATCCAAAGAACATTGACAACTTGCCACAGAAAGAAGCATTTTCTCAAGAATGATTATTGCCCCTTCAAAATTAGATGTACCGCATATCACAATAAAAAATGGGAGTGAGAAAGAAAATTTATGATCCATGTCTCAAACACAGCATCATTCTTGCAATAAACACCAATTGACTAAGCCCCAAAATGTTGATACGAAAAATCAATTATTTGTTCTCGAGTGGACCATATAGGAATGACCATATTAAATTGACAATTAGAATCTAAATATTTGAAACAAGATCTGGACAATAGACAGTGCTGCCAAAGGGGCAAACATTTGTTCTCCATTTAAGGAAAGAAAAAAATACTTTAGCAGTTGTCAAATCCTGTATAATTTATGTGGACAATGAAATCTTTATTTTTTATTTTCTACCCCAAAAAAGGTTCAATTGTTTTTGGTTTGCCTTGATAAGGTTCAATTGTTGTCTTTCTGAACACCATGCTTTCTTGGGTTTTGTTTTTAATTAGGGGCATATTTGAGATTTCATTTATAATTTAGACTTTTGTTTATTAAGTGCATTTTTGACATTTTATATGATAAGGGCATTTTTTACATTCAAGGGCTCAAGTGATACACATTGTAACCACAATGTGTCTAAGTGATAAAGTTTAAGTGGTGTAAGTGTAATATTCCCCAAATTTTAATATTCACTTACTCATTCTTTTTCTTATCAGCTTTACCTACATTCTCCATTTTCTATTTTCTATTTTTTTTATAAAACAGCATCAATATTCTTAATCCCAATATTTCTACAAAAGTTTCCATACTTCCAGCACTACATAAATAAATTTCGAAACTACCAAAATTGCAAATTAACCTTACCCCAAATCACCAAGAGGCTAATTATGAGTCCTTAGAACATAATCATGAACATGTATTTTTTTTCACTCCAGCACTTTGTCCTATTTACAATAAAATCCTTCATCACATCCCTTGCATTTTTTTTTTTTTTAGTAAATACATCCCTTGCATTTCAATTTCAAAACACTTCCCGATTTGATTATCCTAAATGATTCTTGCTACTATGTATTAGAGCATTCAAATGACTTCCCTCATCCTCACATAGGTCACTTGTAATTTGCAACAAATATCCTGATTTCCATAATTCTTTACGATCTTGACTTACTACTCATTAATATGAACAGTGGTTTATGGGTCATATTAACTAAACTCTATTATAGGGATCATAATATAATTTGACAAAATTATAAGCAAGTTGTCAATCGTAATCAGATTGATAGAGAAGTCGGTCAATGTCTGTTTAAGAAATACATTTGAACTATGATAAACTTGATAAGCAAAGCCTATGAGAATTGGAACCTGGTCATCGAGAAAGTCTGTACGTTTATAACAGATACGCATGCCATTTGACAGAATTAGTTCAGTAGCTCCAACATTTGAATATTCCAATTCCTTCACGACATGCCTAATTTGAAAGAAGGGGATGGATAAGAGGAGAGTAAATGAGGTTTGAATGTTATTTCCTAAACATATATTTGACTGGTAGAAAATGATCTAATTAAACCAGATAGATAATAGTAATCACAGCACAGAAGAGGTCGCATTCCACCCCATAAAGATGGAAACTTGACCCACATAATGGTTTGATGACTGACAACTAAACATTTCATTGCATATAAAATAAAGATTTTAATGAAACAGATCCTAACAGCAAAGTAAATGAATATACCTAAAAGCATAAGTAATTGGGTCCTACGGGACAAACCAAGCAAGGAAGCCTTTCACTTTCTCTAATCATTCCAAAACTCAATTGGAAATCTTGTTATGATAACGAGATATCCAGAGAGGATTAAAATGAGGGAAAGGTATGCTCAAACAACTATAATAATTACCAAGGAAAAGGAACTTCCATTATTTTCTTCAGATGAACCCAATCAAAAGAAGTTACAAAAGAATCACAAAAGCTTAATGCTTATCACACTAGAATGATCTCATGATAATCACTAAAATTGTAAATGCTAGCTCATGGGGAGAAGAGGAAGAAACATGTCAGCCACTCTTTCATAATAGATGAAGTTGCAAAGCCCCTAAATCAGCTACCTAGGACCTACTAAATAACAGAAGAGGAGAGAGTTGATTTTATGAACTACCAATGATGATCACAAGGATATATCCACATGTTAATCACACTAAAGACTGATTTATATGAGGTAGGCCTGGAATCAGAGAGCAAAGAACGATATTCGCAAATGAAAATGTAATGCACAAGAAAGAGAAAGGCATCTTGTTCCAACTCACCCCATATTTGGCTTTGTAATGACAATTTCTTCTGGAATGTGCTCGTCATCCCAAGAAGAGATTCTACCCTCTTCCTCGAGAAGATTGACTTTCTTAACAACATTTGTCAAATCATCAACAACAGCAGATGGTTGGGGCTCAATGGTCTTAATGACACAGCTACATGATGTCCGCAATTTCTCGGAACACTTGGAGACCTCTAATGCCGATATATCTAAGGCATACAAATAACTAATTTAAGCTTAACTATAAGACCTCTCAAAATCAATTTATCCAGAAATTTAATAACAGAAGACAAAAGAACATGATATATCAACTCACGTGGTAGAAGAGTCTTTTGGAGTTGAGCCTCATACTCAATCCCGATAACAGGTTCATCGTGGAGAAAATGCTGCATTAACAAAGAGAAAATTATCTCCAAAATCGCCCACTGTTATTTGTCATTTTAATGTGAACAAAAAATAGAGATAAATTATTAATATACTTGTAAATATTCATCTCTCAGGCTGGTAGATTGAATTTGATCTCGCTCCAAATAGGAAGATTCAATATCTGACATCAGTAGTGCACGAACAACAGATATTTCACGCTCTGAAAAGCCATGAAGTCGTACCCTTGCAACCTAAAATATAGATGTCATAAATCTGGAAAGAAGGAAAATAGAGAAGAAAGTGGAAAAAAAGAGAGAACGACGAAGAAGATGCAGCTCCTAAGATTAAGATGAAAAACACCTCTATTAACATTGATTCCAGGGCCTCAATAGTTCCTTTTCCTTTACAAGATGAAGTTATTATATTAGCCTTTAATGGACGGACTAGAACATCAGCAGCAGCTGAGCAGGAGAAACAGGGCGGATCCTTTCTACGCGATATTTTAAAGAATCTCTGGTTTAATGCATAGAGGAACATGGATTCTGCAAGCAAATTTCTGTAGTCTTTAACTGTTTTAAGCTCATCTGCTGGCATCTTATAACTAATCATCACTGCAGACTGTGATTAGGCAAACCCAGAGTAGCATGTTAATTTGCAAGCAAGATAAAATTAATAACAAATACGAGAATTGCATTAAAAGTCAATGATTTGTCACTTACTTACCCCAGCAGCTTCAGATTCAACAAAACATGAAAACCGTGGTTCATCATGCGATGGAACTTGGAATGTTGGTATAAGTGGAGGATTAGGCGCTGGAATTTTCTGGCCAAAATGAGTCTTGATTAACTCAACTACACCCTGAAATTGCGAGAGGGAGAACGGTTAGCCAAAATGTTGAACAAACAACACAGTCGTCATAGACTCATAGTTCCCGCATGAACATAAAAAAGAGATAAATAACAAAAGTACCTGTGTATCAGAAAAATCACCAACAGCTATCACAGCCATATTGCACAAATGATACCACTTCTCGTAAAAGTGCTTCACAGTCTCAGGAGCAACAGTCCGAATTACTCTCTCTAGTCCAATCGGTAACCTTTCGGCATACTACAATCAATTAAAAGCTTAATGAAATAACACATATTTATAAAAATTCCCAAAAAAAAAATAACTTCTAAACTACAAGACCATTTTAACATTGACTAATAGTAGCAAGTGTTGGATACAACAGATATCTACCTTTGAACCTTCCATCATCAAAATCCAATGAGCTTCCTGCAGCCTCCCCGTGGCATTTCTACTTGCCCTGTACTCTTCCATGACAGCTCCTCTTTCTTTCTCCAAGTCGTCTTTGGAGACTCGAATCTCTGAACTGAATTCAGCCAAAACGGAAATGGCCTGAGACAGGAGCTCAGGCTTGTCAACAGGAACCAACAGCTCATAAACGGTGTCGTCGGAAGAGGTAACAGCATTCTGACAAGCGCCAAATTCGGCTCCAATACTTTCAAGGAATTTAACAATGTCATGATTAGTGTATCTCTTAGTGGCACTGAAAGCAAGGTGCTCAACAATGTGAGCAACTCCACGTTCATCCTCTTCTTCCAGAACTGATCTGCATGTACAGCGAGGATTGAGGCACATGAACCAAAAAAGAAAAAAGAAAATAGAAATGATAAGTTAGGTAAGGTTGGTTAGGTTACCCAACCCTGACGGCAAGTGCGAGAGCAGCTCTCATGCGCGGCTTCGAATTGCAGCGAACGTAGTAGCGAAGGCCATTATCGAGTGTGCCGTAGTCCACGCCAACAGGTTGCTCTGCCAGCACTTGCTCCATGTCGGCGTTCACCGGTTTCAGTGATCGGAACCCTTGTTTCTTCGGGATCGGAGCTCCACCACCACCACCGGGAAGCAATTCCATCCTTCTTCGCTATCTCTCTCTCTCTCTCTCTCTCCTCGATTGAGTCAATCCCACTCACTTTATCTAATATTCTTTTTCTTTACTGCTAAACCACCACTAGTGCTACTGACGTTACTCCCACTCTTCCTTCTCTCTTTTCTTTTTTTCCTCTTGTTGATGTAATTTCTTTTGAATATCATTTTGTAAAAAAACAAGGTAATTCGAAAAAATATACGACATAAATAAGATAAAACCTATATTGAGTTGAACTGAGTTTCTAAGGCGATTCGTTTTTACAGCTTTGTTTGGAATCAATTACTCAAAAAAAAATAAAAATAAAAATTAATGGGAGTACTAAAAAATAAAGAAACAATTACTAAAACAACATACCACTTTATTTGTTATATGTGAAGTACAATACACACTTTTTCTTGGCAAAATAACTCCGATAGTTAGGAAAAGTCAAGGAAAACATTGTTATTTTATTTTTCTTTAATTACAAAAGGAATGAGTTTCTTTGAATCAAACTCTTGTTCTGTCAGATAAAGGAAGAGAGTGTGAGATGGCATTTAGGATTCTCCTCTTCACATAGAAATTGAGGGAGGCTTCTTGTAGTATTCTCTATGAATAACAAGTTAACAACTAAAGTGTTTCTTTACTTTGGGGATATAAGTAGAGGAATGTTCTTTGTGGTGTCTTTATAAGCAAAAGCATCATAGAAAATTGATAAAAAAAAACTCAAGTAGTTAGTTACTTGAGAACTAACAATAAGTCATGATAGTTAAAAACTCCTTTTAAAATTGAGTTTTTATATTTTTATAATTTTTTTTTCATATGCTTTTATTTTATTATAATTTTATATTTTACGATTTTTTATTCCTTCCATTTTGAGGTAAAAACTTGATTTTAAGTATCTTGATGGGGATAGTAGACAAACTGATTGTGATTGAACAATATTCTTATCCTTGTTTCTTTTAATTTCTATCATTCATAGGCAGTTATTGTTCATACACATAATTTATAAAGTTCATGAAATCTGCAAATAATCCTATATTACCCAGAACCAATTTGCTCCCTCATAGTTCTATCAACCACATAGCTAAGCCATGGTTTCAAGATGAAAATATTTTACAAAAATTATTGTTAGCTGCGTTTCCATAAATTATCAATCGTGATGTTTTAAGTCAAGGAAACCTGCTAATGTGATGTTCTGACACAATTTATCCCATGTTAATTTAATTAACTTTAGGTTCCAACATCAAACAGTGCTTTATAAGTAGGTCCAGCATTACCATTTGGAATTGGAATAAAATACACACCGAAAGCTGGATAAACCGAGGCCAAAGATGAATGATTAATCTGCACCATTATAGGATCCAAGTCAATAGGGTTTGGACCTGATACTCATTGTTAACAATAGAATGAGAATGTGCCTGGAATCAATCACAAAGAAGACAGAGTGCGAGTCCATTTAACACTTTATTTTACAGTGGGATATCGAATAAATGATGACCAATTTACTATACAGAGTAAACCAAACCGAATCACTTGGAGGAAGGAAAAAAGATATAGTTTGGCAAATTTAACCAACTCAACTAAAAATGCTACATTGCAAATCCTTATAGCATCGTTTCCAACAGTACTTGGTCCACTTGAATAAAAAAGTTGCTCCTTCTTGCTTTAAGCGTCCATTGATATGCTAGAGTTGCAAGAAATTACAAGTTAAACATAATCACATACTTAAGACAACATGACTCAGCTTCTATAAATAACAAAGAAAAGTAAAGGCAACGTGACTCAGCTTCTATTAAGTGATGTTTATCAATGTATCCACCGGTATATGGTCACGGATGGATTGCAAGATGTGTAATTAGAGGCTCTGTCTATCGAGAAAATATGCTAAAAAAAACCTCTCAAACCTTGTCCGTAAGTCCAATCTCGGCTGGATTTCACATGGCATCTGAGAAATGATAATGCCATACTGACAAAAATTGAACAATATGTGTAACCAAATTTTGAAGCTGACATTACAGACAGTGCAGTTACATGACCTCTGAGCAGAAGTTAAGCATGACAGAAGACAACGAATTGAAATTAAAGAAAAAATGCCTGATTCATAAAATACAGAATTTTATTCTAATACATTACCAAATATACATGTGAATGAACGATAAGGATGAATAATCCGATAATATACATATGTTCAAAAAAAGTGAGCAGGACAAAGATTTATACAAAGAAACGTGATGAAAAAAATAAAAATAAAAATAAAAGATCTATCCACAAGGTGGGGGTCTTCCAGACAGTTTACCATTATCATGATATTTTGCAATGCTGATTCATAGTTCATAATACACCAATGACCAATCCACGCAAGAATGCCACTTCTGATGAATCATCTGGCTTCTTCTAACTTCATCTACTTTGCCAATACAGTTCGGAAAAACTTTTCTTGATACTGATAACATCATAGTTCATTCTCCTCTTTCTGATCCCTCATGTATTTTCTTCCAACTCCCACTAGCTTGCCAATACAGTTTGGAAAGAAATTGAGTTGCTAAATATCCGATGCTTATTCTTACTTCTTCGAGCTCCTCATGTAAAATTTATTTAAAATCTGTCCTAACACCATATGTCTATTTCTAAATAGGGTAGACCTACAATACAGCAAATCAAAGATGACTCTCCCTTTTCTTAGACAAAGCAGTGGCTAAACTAGATAGCATCAGAGACCCAAGTATCCTTGATTCCTTCTTTCCATATTCCCCATCTCCATCTAACTCTTTGGAATTTGCTTCTGCATGCTGAGATGAGGTTGCCAGCAACATAAGAATCAACATCACGGTGGATAAGCAGAGAAACATCTGACAATTTCGGGCAATTATCCAAAACGGATGAAATAAACGCTAGAGTAAACTCAATTTCGAGGACCACAAGATGCGCAACAAATTCTTTTAGTGTCTTCATCCCAATCCCATCTTCCAAACCTCCCCGGCAGAAAGAATTCTCCATTACATACCAAGCACCAGGACCTAAATTAAGATAGTTTATATTTGGGAAAGAATCCAACAATGTATGAAGGCCAAACTCAGTTACTTCAACTTGTCCTCTTCTGACCGAATCAAATGTAAGCCTCTTGACCGTGTTGCAATGGCGAAACATGCTTAACAGCAAAGCAAGAGAGGGGGACTCTACATTAAGCTGAAGGCATTGTATATTACTACAATTTATCAATTTGAGTTCATCTGTATTCTCAAGAGAGAGATTGAAAGTAGACAAGGATGGGGCTTCAAGGACAATCAATCTAGGCTTGATGCATTTGAGATGGAAATCAACAAGGCAAGGTGCACATATGATCAAAGAAAGAGGAGCATTTGAGACTGACCATTGACAAGTTGTGAGGCGTAAAAGATTAATCTTAGGCTCTTTAAGTCCTCCAACTCCAATAAGATTGAGTTGTGTCAGATTAGGGAAACAAGTATTGATCTTGCTCAGGTCCTCATCATCCAACCTTACAAACTCAAGGGTCAAATTGGTGAGCGTTGGCATTGAATTCAAACCATCCACCGATAACCAAGCATTCCTCACCACTAATTTCGCAAGAACATGGCCTGCATCATAAAAGCACAAACAATTAGAGAATTAAAAAGAAAAGAAAAAATGAAAGTTGAGAAATCGAGAAGCTCACAGGTGGAAGAGATCAAGGACAAGGCTTCGGATCGCCGCCAACAAGATTGAACCCAGAAATCGGAAACGGATAAGGATTTCAAACCATGGGAAATTGAAGGAAGCCAGTCTTTGACGAAGTTGAAATCTGTGAGATAGAGATCATCGGACTCGTCCTCAACGTCGTCGAAGGAGATGCCGCCGAGAGAGCGGTCGACGCCGATAGAGACGGAGTCGAGGTGCGTTGTGCGGCGGACGAGTTCCTTGAACACGATCTTGAAGGGGGTGACGAGGTGCTTGGTCTCCGGAGAGCGAGACTTGAGGTAACGAGACATGGAACACACGAGTGTCACCGACCGGACATCATAGGAGGAGGCGTTTAAGGTCTTGGACACGACCCTGCAACGTGCCAGATCGGTCGTGTCCGTTAGTCGACTCAGAATTTCGATCACCAGCGAAGGGGGCAGCTCCTCCATCGACTTTCATTCATTAACAAACGGAATTGAAAATCAATTGCACCACCAAAACAAAACCACGGAGTGTGTGTGTGCGTGAGAGAGAGAGAGAGAGTTTGCGTGTGTGGTTACTAGAGGCGTAATACGGCCTAGCGTATATAATGTGACTCGCACTAAAATAGAATATGGTTAAACTTTTAAAAAAATTTATTTTAGAAAATAGGTTATAATTAACCTATATCATATTATTTATTTAAATATAATAAATAAAATTATTATTTAATAATTTTGAATAATAAAATAATATTATTTTAGTTATTCATTTAATTGTTGAATGTTTAATAAACTTAAATAGGCTAACAGGCTTAGGCCAAGACTTTTATTTTTTGAATATAAGTTACGTCATATTTGTAATTTAGAGCCTACACAATACCTAATATTTGTTACACAGACTTAATCTATTTAAGCCAAACCCTAACCTAACCCAACTCATTTACAGAATTTTAGCTCTCTGACTTGAAAGGAGGCGCGTGTCTTCACTTTCCATCATTGAAATGACGAATATGCCCTTTATAATCAAAAACAGGTATTTGCAAAAAAGTAAAAACCCTTGGCTGCTACAGTGTTGGTTTGATACAGATAGAGAAAGAGAGGGTTTTGAGTGGGATGGGGAGGAGGATACTGAATGATGCGTTGAGGACTATGGTGAATGCAGAGAGGAGAGGGAAATCTACGGTGGAGCTCAACCCCATCTCCACTGTCATCTCTTCCTTTCTCAACATCATGAAACACCGTGGTACTCTATTACTCCTACACTTTGATTTTCTCTTCCTTTCAAGTATTTCGTTTACCCTCTCTGTTAAATTTTTATTCTTTTTCCTGGAATTTGGAAACCCTTTAACTGCCATAAGAGGACAACAATGAAATCAATCAATCCCCTTTTTTAATTTTTATTGGGGGTGATTATTTTATTTTATTTAATTTTATTTTCCCCCCGTAGTCTCTTCAAGTAATGTGCCGTTTTGTGATTGTGTAGTCCCAATGGCAAAAATTGCGTTTTCCACTCTGAAATTTTTGTATCACATAATATATTTAATTTCTGTATGCGAAATGTCTCTTACGATAAGTGTTTGCTAATTCGGTGTGACATATGATAGGCTATATCAAGGACTTTCAAGTCTATGATCCGCATAGAGTGGGGAGGATAACAGTACAACTACAAGGTAGGATTAACGATTGCAAGGCCCTTACATACCGACAAGACCTCAAGGCAATGGATATTGAAGCCTACAGATTGCGCACTCTTCCTACACATCAGGTTGTTTAATGCTTAGTGTTTCCGGTTCATATTAAGTTATATCGGTTTTGCTAGTTGCTTTTGAATGTGGAGAATGTTGTTGTATCAGAGATGCTAGTTGTTATACTTTTTGAGTTTCAAAAAATCAAAAGGAAAAAAGAAAGAAATGGAAAAGGTTAATCATACAGTTCTCTTTCTCTCTTTGCAGTGGGGTTATGTTGTGATTACTACTCCTGATGGTGTTTTGGATCATGAAGAGGCCATTAAAAAGAATGTAGGTGGCCAGGTTCTTGGTTACTTTCACTGAAAATAATCATCACCATGTTAATTTGGCCAGATATTGTTGTGTTCAGCTATATTTCCTGATAAACATTGAATGAATGCGATGACAGAATGTTTTGTTCGGCAAAGGGGGTTTTGCTTTCAATTATTGCTTTGTCATGTATGAATTTTACCGCAGTTCATGCGTGATGAGCGGGATGGATTGGATTTCATGCTTTGTTGAAATTAGTACTGTTTTTGTTAAATAATAGACTAGACATGAAATCATGAATGGATGTTACATCACCTTAGTTTGTAATTTTCTTCAATTTCAGAGTTGCACTTACGTAGTCCTTAGTTAATTTAAGAATGCTTCCTTCTAGAGGATAGTTATTGTTGACATTTTGTCTCCAACCCTGTCAAAGTGGATATTTATTGTGAGCACCCTTTTTTTTTTTTTCATTTTCTTACTTAATTTCTTAAATTTAAATATTATTTATAAAATGTTAAAAATATTTAAGAAATTGGGATAGGATATGATGCCTACCTATTTTTATGCCTACTCTACATATTCTTCTCCAACAATGTTAGATCAGAATCTTAATTAACCTTCACTCTTTCTCTCTCCTCTTAAGATTATGATCTAATTATATTAAAGAAGAGTAGGTAGAGTAGACATGAAAATAGGTAGGAACAATTTTCTATCCCAATAAAAATTGATGAAGGTTTTTTTTAAAAAAATAAAAGAAAAGAAAAGAAAATATGCTTTAAAAGAACATTCACTAAAAGTTTTTTTTCCTCCGGATAAATTGCTCTCAAACTCCACATACCCCATCAATGATTGTTTTCTTTTTCAATCATCCCACGTGCCCCTCTTTGTCTCGATTTGCAATTGCTGGATTTATTTAGAGAAGGAAAGCATTGAGGGCTACACAAAGAAGAGATTGTGGTGGAAAAATGGCCACTGAGAGCATACATGTGGCAGTTGCAAGGGTTGTCTCCAAATTTTTTTTTTCAATGAAGAGTATATTCATATTTTTATCTGGAATTTCGGTGGGTCTACAACCATTATAAAAGAGAGAGCAAGCTGAGAATGGAGGGAGATGGAGAGAGGAAGAAAAACACTGTCACTGGGAAAGAGAGAATAAGTGAGTTCAGGTAATATGTTGCTGAGATTCAAGAGTTTATCCTGTCTAAAAAATATTCTTAGTACCTCATTTCATATTGAGAAACAACTTGTGAGTAATAGTTTCTTTGATTCTCGTTCTTTCTCACATGTTTCATCTTCATTGTGATTAATGAATGGAAAAGAAGACTGGAGTGCATTGTTGATCTTCTGATAGTTTGTAAAACAGAATTTTTAATGATTTAGTATTTGCAATATCCATTTTTCGATACTTTGCACAGCACCTGTTTGATAAAAAAACTTAAATAATAGATTACTTTATGATTTACTGCATATGTTGCTATTTGTGTTATCCAACTGGTGGGATGTTTGGATGCTTTGGATAAGTGTTATTACATATGATGGTTCTCTGACTTTTGGCTTGATTTCATCATGATAAATTGATAATACACTTTGAATTGGTGCCAAATCTTATAACATTTACAATGGGCAGATTTGTTTGTCTTGTGATGCTGGATATTATATATTGTTTTTGAATGTTCTAGTTAATTGATTCGTTGGTCCAAATACTCATTACCGCAGAACATGTGATGTTTTTTCTCTTTTGAATTCATGTGCAAAATATCACTCCTGCACTCCTTTTGGGGTCTTGTAAAAGTATCTATCTCAACTTTTAGTTAGCTTTTCTTTGGCTTTATTTTGCTAATGTCTAGAATTCAGTGAGAAAAACTTTCTACTTGTTTTTTAGATATGCTGGACAGTGTGTTGATTTTTTTAAGTTTTAATATTCCAATCAATTTTGAAGTTGTTAGAAGCATGGACTTCTAAGATTAAAGCATGGAGTTGCAAACTTCTCAATGAATGGAATCTGCAGGGATCTTAAAGGCTTTAATATTATTATTTTTTTCTTTTCACGAACCATCATGAAGGAAAATAATATCAAAATTTAGGGTTTGTTGGATTGTGTTCTGATTTTTTTTTTTTTTTTGGTTCTTGAAACTGTTTTGTTCATTATAATTAAGTGGAGGTGGGTCCTTTTGAATGAAAGAATTAGATTTTTGTTTTAGAATATGGATTTAAGGTAATTTGTTTCGTAAACTACGCTAGAATTTATTTTAATTTAATTTTTTTTTAAAAAAGAAAACTCTCGTGTATGTATATAAAAAAAGGGTTTTATGTTTATCATTTAACATAATATAACTTCACTTTCCTACACACACATTAAAGAGGTGGGGTCCATATGTTTTTCTTTTTCTTTCATCATTCCACTTTCTCTCTCCCTTTTGATGTGAGAGTTGGAAACAACACTTACATTATGTTACATAACACTAATAAAACTTATAAAAAAATCTGAATTATGAATAAAAATGACTTTCTAGCAATATTTTCTGTTTAACTTTGCAAAAGGCTAATGGCAAATTGATAGCTATCATTTTTAATACTTTATAGGCCAAACATGTATTTGTGTTTTTTTTTTTGACGAACTTGCTTTGCGATATTAATAAAGGAAAAACATTTTCTCTTGTTGCATTAGAATTCAATTTTCATATTGTGATCCTTCGATTTGTGTGCAAAGTTTTTCTTTTCCTTTTCTCTTTTTAATAAATTTTGTATTCACCGTTAGTTGAGTCACAACATGAGAATTCAATTCTCATGCAACATGAGAAAATCAAACCTCATTAATAAAAGTCAATTCAATTTATTTTGAATTTTTGTTAGAAGAACATGTATATGTCATTTGTGTTGTTTTATTTAATAAAATGAGATGTAGGTATACTTTGCATTGTGTGTTTTTTAAGTAAAAAAAGTATTCAAAAAATATACATACATTTTAAGTAAAAAAAAAAGAATTATTTTTTAGTCTTAGGTTGTTTAATTAAAGAGATTGCAATTTGTCTTTAGATTTTATGTTTTTTTGAAAAATAAATAAATTATATTCCAATGTAACCAAAATTAGGTATTTTATAAAGAATTACGTGACTTTGAATTCTCCATTGCATCAAGGAATGCATAAGAGCGAGGTTTTTTTCCCTTAAGCCAAACTGGAAAAAAAAATTGTTCAATTTATTATTCTGTTTTTGTGAAATTTTTAGAGTTATAATTTTTTTTCCTATACATAATTAAGTTAATTTCTTGTGAATATTAGAATTTAAGTTCCTTATTAAACTTTATATATTTTTTATTGATCAAATTGGTATAATAAAATTTATGTGATCAATCTAAGGATAAGTGTGTTGGGGGCTGTGGCATGTGGGGTTTATTCTCTATATTTCTTCGCGCATAATGAATTTTCGAACCTTGCTCAATTTTAACGACTAATACACAAAAACAAAGATTTTTTAATTTTCCCTAAGAAAAATAAAATTTCACTCCGTCCTTAGATTTGTAATATCTAAAAATTTGAAGAACAATTTTTTTTGCTCTTGTAACTAACTCTACATGTTGAAATAGACATGCGCAGACATATTTGCCATCCAATTTATGGTAGAATAAGAAATATCTGTGCTATGTAAAAATTTTGTGGTTTTGATTGCTAAGGATTGAGGAGTATTAATATGGAAGAAGATAAAGGAGTCTGCACCAGCACCCTCGCTCGGTTCGTCCTTATTTCTTGTCACAATAAAGGTTAACAATTATTGGTAAAATAAGAAACTATGAAGAAAAACTCGCATGACTTTTTATGGAAAGAATCTATTATACTCAAGTTGCCTTGCCACGGAAACATTTATGCACCTTCTATTTTTTCGCCGTTCTCGGCTCCTTCATTGTCGTCTTCCTTATCTTCTCTATCCGTCTTCTGAATTGACTCGCCGCTCTCAGCGTCTTCGATCACGGCTCCCATAGCCGCAGTCATCGTCTTTTTCTCTGATTCATCTCTCTCACGCTCCAACGCGTCGATCTTCTCCGCGGATACGTTGCCGTTGGCAACCTCGGATTCCGCCATCTCGGTCTCTTCTTCATCCACATCATTCTCCTCATCTTCATCATCATCATTGAAGATTTCATCTTCTTCATTAATCAGATCAAAACGTCCAGGCAAGTATTTTGTTATGAAGGCCATTAGAAAATCCTTCCACGTATTATTAAAGTCGCGGCAGTTCCATGTACGGAACTATTTGATTGCGCTTCCTCTGAGTCTTCTCATGGCCACCTGCCATTTGATTCGCTCTTTTTCTCCATGGATATTTCTCTGATACACCATTTTGTTGTGGTGTATACGCAGTTGTAAGCTCTTTTCGGATGCCATGTTCTTCACAAAAGCTTCAAATTCTTTTGAGCAATATTCACCACCACGATCTGTGCGAAGTGTCTGAATCATCCTTCCTGTCTCATTCTCCACACGAGCTTTGAAATTTTTAAATGTAGAGAAAGCTTCTGACTTTTCCTGTAAAAAATAGACCCACGTTTTTCTAGAAAAATCATCAATGAAGGTAATTAAATATTTTTTACCTCCATTAGAAATTGGATTTATTGGACCACAAATGTCTGAATGCACCAATTGCAAAATTTCCTTTGCTCTCCATGAGTTCCCTTTTGCAAATTCAGAACGATGTTGTTTGCTAACAACACATTCTTCACATACTAAGGAATGAGGAATTGTGATTTGAGGGAACGAATTGTTGGAAGTATTCAAGTATGAGTTATAAAGAAGTACCACATCGACTAGACATAGACTAAGTGATGACTATATAAGTGCAAAAAGACCCATAAACCTATAGCCTTAAGGTTTTGGGTTAAATTGTGGTGTCGGCCTATTTATTATGGTTTGTCATTTGGCCCATTGGTGGATGTACCCTTTGCAAAGGGTTTTGGGCTCCCCCGTACCATTCTCAACAGTGGTATCAGAGCCAAAGGTTTGGCTGGGCCGGGTATTTAGAGATGGTGATGTTTCAAGGCCTCCGCAGAAGGCTAGTGTGACTCCAATACTTAAAGAAAAAAGACTTCCGCAGAAGTTGCCCTTAAGGGGGAGCATAATGTTGGGTCTCATACTTGAGGGGAAGATGTTGGAAGTATTCAAGTATGAGTTATAAAGAAGTACCACATCGACTAGACATAGACTAAGTGATGACTATATAAGTGCAAAAAGACCCATAAACCTATAGCCTTAAGGTTTTGGGTTAAAATGTGGTGTCGGCCCACTTATTATGGTTTGTCATTTGGCCCATTGGTGGATGTACCCTTTGCAAAGGGTTTTGGGCTCCCTCGTTCCATTCCCAACAATGATGTATGGCAGTTACCCGTTATGAAG